GCCCCATTTCCTGGTCGGACAACATGCCGCTCGGATTGCCAGTTATCTTAAAAATTATTTGTAAACATAAAAATGAACGATTAGTCATAATTGTAATTAAAAAACTGAAATTTGAAATCATCTTAATTTTCAATTTTACGTGGAATAGTGGGCAAGGAAATTGAATTAACATATATGGTAAGAACTAATGTTAATTATTTATTTTAAAAAAGACGTCTCTTACAATTCAAACATGAATTGCTAAACAAATTGCTAAATAAGTTGATAAACAATTGTTAACGGTTGATAATCAACGATTCCTATTTTTAGACTTATAACTTATAAGTATTGTACGACATATCTATCGTATATGCACATATGTGTACCTCACGTAGAATAATCCGCCGTGTCAAACGCGTTTATCGCGTATTCTGCCCGCATTTTCAACAATTAATGTCTCGGAAACGAAGTCCCGAACGCAACTGCGTTATTCTTGATTTTAGTCTGTTCTGCATGTAGAATCCACTTTGCGACAGTGTCCCACATGTTTAATAACATACTGTATATACGTAATATACAGAAAATGAATGATTAAATTAAAAAGGAAGGAAGTCAATAAATAAATAACGACTGAATAAATAACTGAACACATAAATAAATGTAGAACATTGGATAGGAAGATTTCCTTAGCAAAACGGCCCTTTCCGCCGTACGGTACCACGAATGGAAAGTGAAAATTGGAACGAGCAAAGCACACGCGAACTCTGATCCATTTCAAAGAGCGCTGGCATGCCCACGAGGATTAGAAACTGCGGATTAGCATGCTAGAAGGCTCGTCGAGCTGACGAAATAGAGAGTCTCCCGCGTGAGCATCGATTGCGTCATCATTCGCGTGAATAATACGTGTGACAATAAAGTTTCGAGAATAATTGATTTAAAAATTTCATTTTGAAAATTAGATAGATGAGACCGCTGTCTCAAAAATACTCTCTTCAGACTGTACACGCACATTCTACTATCTGTTGAATATTCGAAATAAAATATTTCAAATGAGTTATTGTCGAAACTTTCTTGTCAAAGCTTGTATATCGTTATTTAAATTGCATCGAATAATTCACGAATATCGATGACACAAAAGCAGCACCAGGCTCGGAAACTTCGATGCATAAAAACTATGTGTCACGGTTAGATATTCGATGAATCTCACGACGAAGTAGGTCAACAAGCGAATTTCCCTAAAACATCGTCATCACCTTTCAAACCCATTGCACCGAGAAGTGCAGAATGATTTGCCATGACACGACTACGGCTGATTATTCGCGGTATTTGCGGCAGAAAATATTCGTTTAACGATGAAACAGAGCAAGCAATTCGAAAATTATTTTAACAAGTCCCGTCCTTGTCCCTAATTAAGTTGATTCATATGTGGCTGCGGAGACAAGCATGGGAACGCTCATCATTTAAATATACGTATTACCGTAAACGTAAACGTTAGAGAAACTTCTGTTTTTCCTTGTGAATCGTTCAATCCCTGATCATTACAAATCCTTAATAACGGTAGTGATATTGTCATTATTGGAAACAATTTAATAAAGAAGAACAGTAACATAAAATCGGATGATATAGGAATAAAGAAAATTAAAGATAAACAATATGAATAAAATGAATACAACAAAATATAATATAATATAAAATGAAAACATAATGCAGCGTGCAACGATAAGGTTCGGTGAATAAGGAACGTTATTTATTCAAATCTAACAATAATCTGACAATAAATTACATAACTATTATAAAATTATATTAATATATTATTTATAATTAATTACTTGAAAATTTAAATATTATAAGTATGTGTGCGTCAAAATTTTAAAGATTTGCATAGACTATCCGGTAGCGGACATTTTTCTTAACGTTATCTCGTCAAAGAATGTGTATGTACATAAATCTACTTTCTACTTTGATTATTTCGCTCAACGATACACTCGAATATCCTTGTTGTCGACGACAGCGAAATTCATCGCTACTTTCTAGGTCGTCGCTACGGCGAGTATTCACCTCTCGATTATATTCGACATTGAAACCAAATAACGCTTATTAGAAATCGAAAGCGTTTCGTCATGATCATTCAAACTTGCCATTACATTTACGAGCAGATGTCGTCACTATCGATACAATATTCATTATGATTTTCCATACCTTCTCTTACAATTACTTTTATCTGAAACACATTCAACAAAATTTTATAAAAACACGGATATTAATAATAACAATCTATTCAACGAATAGGATAAAATTCCCTGTAAGTACAAAAATATATGTATAGATATCACAACAATCGTAATTATAGTTTCAATTTACTGCATAATAATCAGAAGCACATTTAACTAATGGGTATTTAACTATAGGTGCTTAATATTAACATATTTCACTTATAGGTACTTAAGTGAATGTAATCGTTTTTTGGTAAATTTGTCGAAAAGCTACGACCTCGCCGATTTATTTCAGCGACTTTGAAATATGTTGTCAAAGTCAACGTTCTCAGCACTTTTTTCCTATACATCTACGCAAACATATTTTTAATACTATGTATTCTTTTAAAATTTGACTTAGATTTAAGGGTTAACTTCATAATAACAGGCAAAAAATGATAGGATAGTTTTGGAGGGGATTTTCAAGAAATTTATGAACTTTATTGAATATGTAGCATAAGGTTTTACGTTGTACATAAGAAAGAACAAAAAAAGGTTGTATAGAATTTTTTAGTAAAAACTAGCGACGCGATAGCCGCACAACAGGCACGTATTTTCCATTTGAGTCATTTTGCAGTTGAATGTTTCACATCCACACCGTTGGACCTAGAACAAAAAAAAAGTTTTGTCATCTACACACTTGTGGATTATCGGGACACAAAACGGGGTGGTCAAATATCTAGGTGGTTGGTCGGTTTTTTTGCACATGGTGTATGCGTGTGTGGATACACACTCACAAAAACGCACTGTGCAAAAATCTTTACGGAGGTCGGATTAAACAGACTAACCCAAACGTGGCCTATAAAATACGATATTGTAGGAGCGTTGAAAAAATACAGTAGTCTACACGTTTCTCCACGGAGCCTTCCTATTTTCCATTGATGTTATTGCTCCTCTTGTTAGGTATGGAGATCCCGATCCCACAATAAATCACACGTTCAAATTGATCTAACGGCATTTTTGTTGACCCCCTTATCCTGCTGTACCCTTTGTGGGATTTTAAAATACTTATGAGCGGTAATGTATATTCATCGCAAGAGGTGTTAATTAAAAATCCTACTTATTCTAGATACATTAAGGGGTCATGCTCAGTCACGAGGCCGAAAAAAGAGTGTTCTTTAGGAATCTTTTTCTCAAAAACTATAAGACCTTTTTCAAAAAATGTGTTTCAAAGATTGCAGTCTCTAGATTATAAGGTAATTTTTTTATTTAAAAATATTTATTAGTAAATAAATGATGAGCGATCTCCCGACTGTCTCTTCACAAAAAGTGGTATGCCGTGATCACTGTAACTTCGTAACGGTTCATCTGAAATAAAAAATTCAGTAAGATTTATGTAATGGAAGAATCAATCTTGTCCTTGGACGTGGGATTTTTCGAAATATTGATTAGGAACAATATAGCGGACGTTTTCCTGAAAAAGTGCGATTTTCACCTAAAAAATCACTCGTTTTTGGTCAATTAAAAAAAAAGTATGGAACGAACACAAGAATCCTTCGTTTAAGGACAAGTTTTTCTGATTTTAAATAAGGCGCAAAAGGCTTCATGTAAATCGACACAGTAGTTTTCGAGAAATATTGATCAACGATTTGAAAAATGTAGTTTCGAGAAAAACGCGTTTAAAGTTTCAAGTCAAGCTTACACTTATATAAAATGTTCATTTTTTAACGCCTGTAACTCTGTCATTTTTAATTGGATTACCTTGAAACTTGCACAGAATATTCTCGAGATGATGTACTTAAAGAAAATGTAGAAAGTGAAAAATCGATTTTTTGAAAATTTCTGACTGAGCATGACCCCGTAAAAAGCCTAAACATCAAGAGTTGCATGACATCGGGCTGCGCACAACTCAAATCATTGATCCTCAAAACATAGAGTCTACATCCTCTAAACAAGAATCCTTCTTCAGGTGTTGCAGCTCCCCGTCAATCTCAAACGGGCTCCGTGCTGCCTACGCCCACGGAAGTAGTCCAAACGATAATTAGGCACTTAGATCCGGAGCCAGATGCTCACGAGGGTCTAACGAGCTTCTCGGGCGTATGGTCCGAATTGGTACTGCAGGACATTGCCAGAATGGTGCATCCGGCTGGCCAGCCTAGTCTCTGCTGTTCAACCAAAGCGAGACATCCGGAATGCTACGAAGTTCGCGACGAGCAGAACGGTGGATGTAAAAGTTACTGGCGATCGGTATCGAGTCTGACGGTGCATAGATGCAACTTTGAAGGGCGGGAACAGATGAACGGCGCGTCATCGTACCTCGACGGCTCTGATATCTACGGAACAACCGATGAGAGGCTACATCGGCTCAGGACGTACATTCGAGGTAGAGTAGATGTGTCCATTTGCGAGGTTTGCAAAAGTACTGAGAACAAGGCGCTGGGAACGATGTACACCGCCCTTCTGAGCGAGCATAATCGGGTAGCGGCGAGATTGGCCGAAGCAAACGAGCTTTGGAACGACGCGAAGTTGTTCCACGAAGCTCGCAGGATCGTCATCGCTCAGATGCAACACATCACCTTGAACGAGTACCTGCCGAGCATACTCGGGGAAGGAGCTAGAACCGATCCGAGGCTAATGCCTGTGGCTAGCGGATTCTATGGAGGTTACTCATCGTCAAACGTCGGAGGAACGTACGATGCCGTCGCGTTGGCTGCTCTCCGCGCTCTGACGTCTCTACGCAAGCACCGGATGGACAATGCCACGCGCTTGGAGGACCATGTGATCGCTTCCGCCAATCGTATTAGGTTAGAATCCGGCCCATCTTCTTTCGACTCCTGGCTAGACACCGACGTTCATTTCGTTCACGTAGCCCGCGATCACGGTGTACCGGGATACGTCCGCTTTGTAGCTGATTGTTCTGGGAACAATGTCACGGTGGGTTATGAATCTTTAAATACTGTAAACCAAATCTGGGTAGTAGTATTTATTTATCACTGCATTATGTGATTCACATGTTTCTCTTGATCTCGTTAGGTCCAGAATTTCAAAGACCTGGAACAGTTCATGCGCCCTACACACGGGAAATTGCTGCAATCCATTTACTCCCAGGTAGAGGATATAGATCTTCTTGTGGGTGGAATTTTGGAGATCCCTAATAAAGGCGCGGCCATTGGACCAACGTTCGAGTGCCTTTTGAAGAAGCAGTTCGTGAAAATCCGAAACTCCGATCGATTTTGGTACGAGAACGATCTTCCTCCATCAGGAGTAAGTCCAGCACAGCTGGCCGAAATCAGAAAAGTCTCGCTCGCTGGTATCCTCTGCGCGAATACGGACATTCAGAAGATTCAGCCAAAAGCGTTCATCCAACAGGATCCGTATCTAAATGCCAGGATCAATTGCGATCAGCATAGCGTACTCGACGTAACTCCCTGGGGGGAAGAGCCTCTGCCCGAACCGATCAAGGAAAGTGTCAGCAGTAAACCCGTAACATCGGAATTGATACCGAATTTTAATCCTAACCTGCTAGCAGCAGCTGTGAAAAAAGCCGAAGCCGACCTGATCGAAAGAAAACAATTAGAATATAATTCCTGGTTAGAGCAGAGGATAGCGGATCCGAAATCGCCAGCCGGTACGGCTGCCAGTTTCTCTAAGGCCAACAGAGACGCTCTGTTGTTAGCTAACTCATCGATCATGTACGAGTTAGCCACCAATGAAATCTTGAACGGCATACACGGTCTAAGACGCAGGAAACGACAAGTTTTCGATACCACCGACAACGTTCTCGGTTTCCCCAACAACGACTTTTCTGATTTGCTGCAGAACGTCGACATATCCGGATTCTTGTCACAGAACAAGCCAACGAATCACGATGAAGTCGAATGTCCCGTAGACGACAGTCCTTGTGATCCCACCACCCCATACAGAACACTCTCAGGCCACTGCAACAATCTTCGTAACCCCAGCCTGGGAAAATCGTTGACAACGTTCGCTAGATTGCTTCCACCGATATACGAGGACGGAGTGTCGAAACCAAGAATCACAGCGACCACCGGAGGACTTCTGCCCAATCCGAGAGTAGTGTCTGCGGTGATACATCCTGACATTTCTAATCTCCACAATCGATACACATTAATGGTGATGCAATTCGCACAATTCTTGGACCACGATCTAACGATGACGCCGATTCATAAGGGTTTCGCGGAGTCTATACCGAGCTGTCGCCCCTGTGACTCACCCCGTACCGTACATCCCGAGTGTAATCCGTTCCCAGTGCCACCTGGCGATCATTATTATCCTACTGTCAACGTCTCATCTGGCGCGCGAATGTGCTTTCCGTCCATGAGATCGCTTCCGGGACAACAGCACTTGGGACCTCGAGAACAAATCAATCAAAACACCGGTTATCTGGACGCATCAGTTATCTATGGGGAGAACACTTGCATCTGTAACGTCCTGCGCGGTTTTAACGGTCGTATGAACGTCACTCAGAGTCCACACCGCGGCGCGAGGGACCTTCTGCCGCAATCGGCGACCCATCCAGAATGCAAAGCCAAATCAGGTTTCTGTTTCATTGGCGGTGATGGTCGGGCTTCCGAACAGCCAGGTTTAACTGTTATGCATACGTTCTGGATACGCGAGCACAATAGGATCGTCGAGAGCCTAAGACAAGTGAATCCTCATTGGGACGGCGAGAAACTCTTTCAGCAGTCTCGTCGCATCATTAGTGCTATGCTGCAGCACATCACGTACAACGAATTCCTACCGAGAATTCTTGGCTGGAACGCAGTTACCCTCTACGGGTTGAAACTCCTACCTCAGGGATACTACAAGGAGTACTCGCCCACCTGCAATCCCAGCATACTCACTGAATTCGCTACGGCTGCTTATCGAATTGGACATTCGTTGCTGAGACCACATCTACCGAGAATGGATCGCAATTATCAGAATATCGAACCGTCTATTTTATTACGAGACGGATTTTTCGATCCCGACCCACTTTATCGGCAAAATATGTTGGACGAAATGATCCGAGGTTTGGTAGCCACTCCCATGGAGACTCTGGATCAATTCATAACCGGGGAAGTGACCAATCACCTGTTTGAAATCAAAGGCATTCCCTACTCGGGTATCGACCTGATAGCGCTAAACGTTCACCGCGCCAGAGATCATGGAATTCCGTCATACAATAATTACAGAGCGCTATGTAATTTGAAACGGGCCACCACTTTCGAGGATCTATCGAGGGAGATGGCTCCGGAAGTCATAGCTCGCATGAAACGTATATACGCTTCCGTGGACGATATCGATCTGTTTCCTGGTGGAATGAGCGAGAGACCCCTTCAAGGTGGACTCGTCGGACCGACCTTTGCTTGCATCATAGCTATACAGTTCCGACAGGCAAGAAAATGCGATCGTTTCTGGTACGAGACCGACGATCCGAACATTCGCTTCACCGAGCATCAGTTAGCAGAGATTCGTAAAGCCACGTTGTCGAAAGTCATGTGCGACAACATGGACGAGCATAACGATATGCAGAGAGCTGCGTTCGATCTACCAAGCAACTTCCTGAACCCTCGCGTTCCGTGTAGCTCGATGCCACAAATGGACTTATCTGCGTGGAGGGAGACGAGGCACGGCTGCCAGATCGGAGGCAGAAACGTTGCTCTGGGAGAATCCGGTTTCCCTACACCCTGCACTAGCTGCGTCTGTACAGCCGAGGGCGTAAGTATTTGGTTACTTAAAATTAAAGTAATTTTACTGTACTTTTGGATGTCAACTCCTAACACACAACTGAAGACATTTTATCAGAACGTAGTTTCGATTTCCCTATACCCTATAAGGCATAATCCTCGCTCGCTATTATTAATAAATATTCTATACGCCTCGTTCAAGTAATCCAAGACTTAGTCTTAAATCTTTTGAAACCGGCTCTTTGCCTTCTACTGCAGTTGAAACATGTTGACACTAATGACAAACAATGAAAAGTTGCAAAGATAGCAAATCATGTTTAACTACAACATAAATCGGATGTTTTTGTTTCAGACTCAGTGCGCTTCCCTGAGGATCACGGATTGCAACCAGCTCTTACGCGAAGCTTCTCGAGAAGCTATCCTGCGCGATGATGTGTGCACCGCCCAGTGTGGCTTCGTGTTAGCGGCCACAGAAGCTACCTCGAGACTTCAGCAGTTCACGACATCGACCAGTTTTCCTGGTTTCGCGGGCCACAGAAACAGTCTGAGGAGCGTATCGACGCCAGTCTCCTTTAATGGCTTCAAGTTACCCGATCTCTCACAGTTCATAGGCTGAAACTAGTAAAACATCTCAAAACTCGTTGCTTATGAACGATCACGCGCGAGAAACACACTGTCTACCTTTAAGAGACTGTACAATAACGACAGTGACCGACATCTTTTCACAAGCTGTGTTCGTTATCGACAATTGAACTGAAGATTGCAATGCCATTTCCGAAAAAGGACGAGAGTATTCACGAATGTAATATCACGCCAGTATTTGTATAATTTTATTTGAACTGAAATTGATCTGAAGTATAGCGTTTCTTTTTTCGAAGTATTTCTCAGACTATCTTCTTGTTATGTTTGCTAGTATTGTTGTATAGATTGTAAGAAGTATTTAATTCACGCCCGATGGCGTACTCTCGAAAACAAAAAACGGTCAGTATCAAACGACGTGCATATGTATGGAGTTGTCATCGCCAGTTTGAAGGAAGAATTGTAGTGATTTCGTGGTACGTTGGCGCGAATACGAGAACATAGAGGACTCCAATAAACTGTCACGGTATTTGGAAGTATCGAGACATGCGAGCATTGTAATGGTCGGGCGAGTGATGTGTGTATCAAGGAGACGCGCTGGCAGTGTACCAGCAGGCAGAACGGTTTTATATATGTATAGTAATTTTTATGTGAAATAACAAAATCCATTCTGAATCGTCTTTTTCTCTGTCATTACACCTCTATCTAATTTTGTAGTATAATAGTGGCATGTATAACGTTAATAAATGTTGATGTTTCTTCTCCCCCTTTTCTTCTTCGTAATAAATAGCGAACGTCCCACGCTTCCGCGACCAATCATACTACCGTGAAGTTTGGTCCGCTGTTTAATATCACGATCGACAGCATGATCTGAGGTGGAACTCAAGAGATCCCGTATTTACAAAGCATCCGACAACCAGCGGCTAGTGAATATGTCGTAGAAATTTCTTCATAGCTGTCTCGTCTCGCTTCTACTCACAAAGCATTTGTTCTTCTTGGAAGTATTTTACACTGTCCGTGAATCGTTCGACATTTAACTGGCAGGAACTTCTTGTTTATTGTTCAGCACAGCGGCGTTTTCCTGCATCGCAGGTGTCTGTTCTACGCACCGCCAGAGACCGTAAGTTTTACCGACAGTCGTTTGCCATAATCTTAGGGTACCATCCTCTGAGCCGCTTGCGTACAGTTCACCGTCTGGTGAAAAACGCACGCAATGGATTGGTCCGAAGTGTCCTTTAAATGATTCTAAAAAAATTTCAATGTTTACGGATGATTTACATAGAAAATATTACGCCTATTACAAAGAACTCACCGATCTCTGCACCAGTACTGTAGTCAAACTTGTACATTTTCAGGTCTTCTCCACCGCATACAAAGATACTACAGTCTGGATGCAGGCTGGCACTGTTTATCTGAGTCGGTACAACGTATTCGCGTAATTTGGTAAGCCTATGGAAACAATAATTGCAAAATCATTTTTTTGATCCGTATTTGAAATTTTCAAAGTTTTCAAAAGTAAAATAAATATGTGGGAATCTTATTAAAATGTAAATCCTGGGTCCAAGAAGTATGAGTACTGAGTCGAGGACGACTGATCAGAGGTGACTAATTTACAAATTAATATACAACGAGGACGTTAAATTGTGTCTCATAAATCTTAAAATTTTGCCATTACTTTTACTGCTACATGTAGTTCACTTGCTTTAAATTAACATACTCTTTACTGTTCCAAAAGGTGACTACATTAGAATGAGTAGTCGTGATTATGTTTCCATCCTTGGACACTTCCATGGAGTTTGGAATAGCTGGAAAATCTAGCCTCTTTATCTCCTGTCCACTGTTCCTGTCCCACACTCTTAGTGTCTTATCATCGGCACAAGTTATCAACTGAGTATTATTATTGAAGAATGTAACGTATCTTATACCACTTTTATGACCTGAGAAAACCTGTTAATGTTATTTGTTAGACAATATATTACTGTTTCATGTGATGCGAATATGAATATATACCTGTGGAGCTGCTTTTGGTTTATTGAGATCATATATTCGTACCAACTTTTCATTAGAACCGGTACACAGATAATTAGAATCAGTGCTAAAATTAACAGACTTTACTATGTGTTTGTGTTGGAACGAATAAATTTCTTCTCCCTTGATTGCATCCCAGACTTTAGCGTTAAAATCGGCAGCTCCTGAGGCAGCTCTTGTTGCGTCAGGGTTTAACGCAACGCCCCATACTGCACCTTTGTGACCCTCAAATGTTCCGATCCAATCTCCAGTGTCTCCTTGTCGTAACATGGGTTTGCCATCTAAACATGTTCAAAATATCTTCTGTCAATTTTAATGACTACTGTGTATCCCTCTAAAATTTGTCATATTTTCTGTAGGTAATAAGATTTACATAGCACTTTTAATTTACAATTTAAAGAATGGTCCAACAATTAGATTTAGTGGCGTTAATTGTTTTACATTGTTCATGACTCCTTATTAAATGGAACTTAAATACATACTGTTAAATAAATTCAAATTAGATTCACTGTTATTATGTTTTCTAATAAACAGTATTATTCAAATTGTATGATATATATGTAGCATATAGAACATTGACTTTTTATCCTATGATGAAGTTCACTTACAAAATTCATGTAACATTTACTGTTCATTTAGAAAACAGTTTCTCCACATATACATTGATTATTTGTGATTCTCAATCAGGTAAGATTTACACATAGTTATTTAGTGATTTAATTACAACTTTTTATCAAATTTGTATATTCAAATTTTATTACTGAAATTACTTCACTTCTCAATAGAAATTTCCAATACAAAAGAGGACCCAGCTCCGATGACCTTGACCTTAACATATATTGTCAAGGTCAATATTCTGAACAACTTTTCCCTATACATGGTACCTATTACAACATATGTCAAGGTCAAGGTCATCAGAACTGGGTCCCTTTCTGTAAATACTTACCATCAAAAGAATTTGTTTGCATGTATGACCTAACATAAATGATTCACAAGAACATTTAACATTTTGAAAGTATTTAATGCTATTTTCATTTGTCATCATATTTGAAATATAAATCTGTTTATAAAATATAATATTATTCATCTTTCCAATTTTAACTACAAAATAAACTCAAACTAATTGTCTTTTTATTTTAACATTTTCAAATAGGCAATATTATATAATTAATTAAATAAATACATAATATCATCAAATACTTTATATTCCATTCTAATTAAGCATAGCCACATAACTTTTGTACATGTAAGAATTTCAAAAGAATGATTTGATATTTAAGTTTAATAACTTTCATTGTTTAAAACCATTCATGACTCCCTCCACATGAAACTTTTAGTTGCATATCAGTTCAATATTAATTATATATCAAATCTGTATTTTCAAATACAATAATCTTTCAAATATTACTATTAGACACCTGTATGATCTTCACTGAAACATGGAGACTACAATGGAACAAGATATATAGATTCGGTGACTAATTAATTAGATACGCATGTAGATTACAAGGCACAACTGTATACTGTATTCCAGAGGCAACCGGCGATGCGATCAACAAAACGAAATACAGATACAGCCATGACGTTCCAAGCACGCAGTATCTAACCTCGAAGTCCGCAACTCACAAACCTTGGTGTTCACTCGAACTAGGCCAAGGAGATCAAGAGTAAGAGCGGACTGCGTCGAATCTGGTAGAACAAAAATTGTCCGCGAAAGCTAAATCGTATCACAAATGAAAAAAATTATAGGATTGATCACTGGAAGAAGGTCCGAAAAGGAAGTATGTATATATAAAGAATAATAAATGATGTGTATCAGTATTAATAAACTCTTCACGCATTTGGAGTGGTTTCGATTTCCCAATCCATCAATCCCTACAAAATTGACGAGAAAATTACCTTTGCATGCAGAAATCAAATAATATCCTGATTCCGTGACGTCGGAAAATGCAAGATGCACCACGGGTCTCGTGTGTCCACTACATGTCAGTGGGGTTTGCCTCAAGTTCGCCATAGTATCTAATTGAACCCCTGAAGAAGACACTTTTTCCGCTTTTCCTGGACGCGTCTACACCCGGTAGGGCGAGGCGACCAAATTTACTCACAAATTTTTCCTTACCAACCCTCGAAAGTCACGATTTTAACTGTTCTTAAATCTCCCTCAGAGAACCGTCACCATCTGCGTACGACGCGACACTGGAGATCGTGAACGTAGCCACATCGACTGCAAGCCATATTCAGACAGGAAGAACGTTGTGGACCTCGAGGACTTTTCAACTTGCTTTGATCAACCTCAAGGACAAAACGTGAGAATGTTGCTTTATTCATGGTTTTCCTTTCACGGATATTTGGATAAATGATCCTCGGTAGCTATTCAGTTACGGATGAATTATACACAAGGAGAATCTGTAGATAACTTAAAATTTGTTTAATCTATTACAGATTCTGTCAAGCTTAAATAAAATACAGAATCGAATGAATATTGGACTTTATTAAATTTATTTTCATTATAATGTTAAATTTAACTCTTGTTATTGTTTGCAGAAAGAGTTTAAGCCTGAACGTGAACTTTCTGAGTAGCACCACCATGAATATTCATATATATATATATATATATATATGAATGAGAAATATGCGTGAATTTTCTTTCTATTAACTTGTTTAAAACAGTTGAATAAATACATACTTTGACAGTAGCAGTTTTCTTTTCTTATTTCGATTTTGATAGTTACTGTATTTGTATTATTAGTTATTAGTAAAACGTTTTACTTATTGTACAATATATTGAATTTTGTCAATATTTTTTTGTAAACTTATGATATCTCACTTTATCAAAGATAGATGTACTAATTTACAGAAATCAGAATTATTAACTCTTCTATTAATACTTTAAAAAATAGAAATAAATGGCTCTGTCAACCAAATCTGATCTAAACAGATATTACTAAATTTGCTAGAGGGTTTCAGAAATCGAAATAGACAGTCGAACAGATCTACTAATATCCTGACGGCAGATTCACGTCAGAAATGTAGTAGATCTGCGCAACTTACTTTATTACAGATTAAATCTATTACCCTTTACCTAAATACATTTGCAATCGATATTTAAGTATTTAAATGATTATTTAATGTTAAATTACAAAATCCAATGTATATCTTAACAAATATTAATAATATATGTCGATGATATATTACATAACTTTTCTGTATTGCTAGACGTTTACAGTAGCTGTTCGTTAAATGGAGTCCCTTTATGTGCATACATATTAACACAAACAGAAACGAAGAAGAAAAGGTTATGTAAATAAATTGTCAACGAATACTAAATAAATACATTATAGGTTTGATTGTTCAAATATTAACTTATATAGGTTATAAATACTATGTTATGTACACTAAACGCCAAATAAGAGCATAACTGTTTCGCGCATCTTGAATGAGCAGAAGAGGTCTCTCGAACTGGTTCCCCCACTTTCTCGCTTTCTATACATGAACCTGCATGAACCAACATGAACGATAGAATTTGTCATACACCGGGTGACATAATGAAGTATTTCTCAAGCATGAATACTTATGAATATGTACTTAGATACATACTTGTGTGACTATTATATGTTTATGTATTGTAGCTGCTTAAATCAGCCGAATTTTCATAGTACTGAAAACTATTGAAGTATTTATATATATATACATTTTTAACTATTGTTATCAGTAAATACTTACATGAACATTGAACAATAATAATAATTACATTCAAGTTCATTATATTCTACATAAATAGCTATGTTATTGTGTCCATTTTATTCTTGATAAATAACAGAATGCATGTGCTACTGCTATGTTATCCACATTAAGAGCTGACAGATAATACTATGAAAAACTCGTGCAATCAGTGATATCCTGAAACACTATTATCACTGTTGATATTCTTCATTGTCATAATTCTTCTGGTGATGTAAATGAAAAGGAAATCCTTTGTGTGAATCTAGTCGATGAAAATTAGTTCAAAGTCGCTCTTGAAGCAGTGTAAATGGCAGAGATGGAGACTGAAATTATAGAAACACAACCTTTTAACAGTTTGAAGGAATTATATAATAATGTGGATAATCTAAATCCATGGCCATACATTAAGGAATTACGAGAGTCAACAGAATATATGTATTGTGGTATCGATGTAAATAATCAGAAAATAAATTTAGAAAAAGTGAACAAAGACAGTCAGCCTAAAACGTTGCTCTGCCATGATATGAAAGGTGGTTACTTAGATGACAGGTAATATTTACTGAAATTATGAAATAAACATTTTTTTTAAGGTATACAATTATCTTTCTAGGTTTATACATGGTACAGAATCTCATAACTCTTATCTATTCTATCACTGGAGTGTTATTGATACATTTGTCTACTTCAGTCATCATTTCATAACTATACCACCCCATGGATGGATCAATGCAGCACACGAACATGGAGTGAAGGTTCTTGGTGTTATAATAACAGAAAGAGAAGGCATATGGGAGTCTATACTTGAGTCTCAAGAAACAGCAAGGAGGTTTGCAGAAGCTTTAATTCACATTGCAAAGTTTTACAAGTTCGAAGGCTGGTTAATGAATGTTGAGAATGAAATTAAGAGCGAACATGTAAATAATTTAATCTACTTTATGAAGTACCTGACAGAACGTATTCATGCAGAGATTAGAGATGCTGAGATCATTTGGTATGACAGTGTGGTCAACGAAGGAAAACTGAAATGGCAAAATGAATTGAATGATAAAAACATGTAAGTTTACATTATTGTAAACAGAATTAGGCACATTTTTATTCAATTAATTAGACTGCAAATGTCTATGGAGTTATGCAGTGTCATTAATTATTTTTTAAAAATCAGAAGAAGAGAATTAATTGTATCGATTAAACAATTAGGTAAATAATATATAACAGATCTGATTACTTTGTGTAACAGTTTCTATTTCATTGTATTTTACATACTTATTATTTTATTGTTTAAATTCAAATTAATAATAAGAATAATGTAATCTTTAATGTACACCAATAGGCTGGAAATAAGTAAATAGTACAGTGATAAATGACATAAAAAGACAAAACAAGAAAAAATAATCATACAAATTTATGAACGGCAAGATGCAGTTGGTTGATCTTATTTATCTATCTATCTATTTATCTATATTTCAGAGACTTCTTCTTGAATTGCGACGGTATTTACTTGAATTACAACTGGACCAGATCGAAGTTAGAAAACAGTTGTATGCTGGCAAAAAGAGAGAATCGAAACATTCAGGACATTTATGTGGGACTGGACGTGTGGGGAAGAGGATGTCCTGGAGACGGTGGCTTCAATTCAGCATTTGTAAGTGTGATAATATACATTACCCGCGAAAACTTTGGAATCAACAGAGCTGTTGTGTTTCTATAGAAGGGAAATACTTTTTCAGTCCAACAGAAATGGTTCGACAAAGATTAGACCTTTCACAATTTGTTTAACAAGCACAGTGAATGTAATTATTTGACAATTACTGTATGATTGTAAGTTCTTACCATATCAGGCATAGTGTTTATGTCGCTATGCAATAGTGTATGTTGTCACTCATTTGTAGGAATTAAACCTGAGACAAGGATATATCTTTCAATATGTTTATAATTGCTTACAATGGTATTTCATAAATATTAGTGTGCATATTTCTTGGGATTAAAAAGTATAGCCGGATAAGGGAGTCAATAGTACCCTTAGACCGAATTGGAATTGTGACGGCCTATTCGATAGCTTACCAAGAAAAAATAATCTGTACAAATTTTCAAGTTTCTATCTTGACCAGTCAGGGTAATGACAGGGAACTTTCGGATTACCAGTTTTTCCTCTATTTTTCCTATTTAATGGCGTGCAAAAATTCTGTAAAAAATCTGATAGATTGTAGTTGCCGGGATAAGTACGCGTTAACAGAATTTTCTCTGATATTTGGTTGAAAAACCTAATTGCAAAAATTAGAAACAATAAAATGATGAAAAATCCGGGTCTCTTACTGAAGTTTTAAAGCAACTAGATTTATATTATAACAGTAACGATATATGTATTATTGTTAGTGTCCTTAATTTTTTGCAATTTTTGGTAAAGTGCGTCGTAGTTTCGTAAAATCAAGAACTCATATTGTCGACGTTTTTTCCGCGAAAAAGGTAACTTATACTTTAAACTTTTGTATTTTCTTTATTATATAAGTATCTAGTCAGCCAAACTTGCAAAGCCAAATTTTGTCCAACGCAAGATTTGATGCAAGATGTGCTATAAACAATTTGCGCGCACATTGGTAGCAAATTGGCTCGTGCAGACTCTGTTCCCTTTTTTCCCCCAATTTGCTTTACCATTTTGTCAGCTGGCATTGCCTGCAAAACCCAAGCGAAATGCGGAAGCAGAGGGTTATGGTGTCTTAGACAACTTTTATCATTATTTTGCTGGCTATTTGTTTGAAACTTGTACACAACTGGTTATCAGGGTACCTATATTTTTTAAGAGCTATGGCCGCTCCTTTCTAAATAGTTTCCCTTAGTATGTAAGTTTAGTTTCTATCTTTCTAGCTGTAAGTTTAGTCATAATACTTAAGATCGGTTCAGGGGTTTGTCATCCATTTGCGTTGTTTTTCCCAATGTCACTTAGTTCAGCTAACTGTGATATATGTAGATTGTACAATCTGTTAATGTTTTCAACTCCTAAATTGCTTTATACAAAGTTACCTCTAACAATGTCGATTATCTAGTAGTATCGAGGTCTTCGATCAAGTAGGTACAAATTATGTGATTGTACATATGGCTTTTTTTATATCATGATTTTGGTGTCTTATATACATTCTGTGTAAAAAGTACCCGGAATTATTAAATAAAATACAAAAAATTGATTTATTCATTAAAATTTATTTTGTCGCCTTCAAAGTAGGCCCCATCGAGTGCAATACAACTATGCCAGCGCTTGACCCAATCCTTCATACATTGTTCGTAGGCTGATTGAGGTGTGGCCTTCAGCTCCTTCAGCGAATTTTCTTTTATGGCCTCAATTGACTCAAAACGCCTTTCTCGAAGTGGTAATTTTAGCTTCGGAAACAGGAAAAAGTCACACGGTGCCATATCAGGCGAGTACGGTGCTTGGTCGATAACATTCGTTGAGTTTTTAGCCAAAAACTCTTGCACAACGATCGCTTTGTGCGATGATGCATTATCGTGGTGCAAAATCCATGAATTGTCCTTCCACAAATCTGACCGTTTTCGGCGGATATTCTCGCTCAAACGTCTCATGACGCCTAAATAGTATTCCTTATTCACCGTTTGTCCCTTTGGAAGAAATTCGGAGTGCACCAACCCACGATAATCAAAGAAAACTGTGAGCATGACCTTGATTTTCGAGCGACTTTGACGCGGTTTTTTGGGTTTTGGTTCGTTTTCGAGGCGCCATTCCGAAGACTGTTGGCTTGTTTGCATGTCGTAATCGTAAACCCATCTTTCGTCGCCAGTAACGATGCATTTCATGAAGGTGGGGTCCGTAGAAGCTCGGGAAATCATGTCTTCAGCGACCTGCTTTCGATGCTGTTTTTGGAGAAAATTGAGCTCTTTCGGTACCAGTCGTGCGGCGACGCGTTTCATGCCCAAAATATCAGTCATAATGTTATGAACGGACTTAAAAGATATGTTGACCTCTTCAGCCAACTCTCTAAGACTCATACGACGATTTTCGAGCACCAGCTTCTTGATTTTGTCGATGTTTTCGTCGTTCGTACACGTCGCAGGTCGACCAGAACGAGGCAAATCAACTACCACTTCTCGGCCCTCTTTGAATGTTTTATACTATTCATATGCCTGTGTTTTTGACATGCACGATTCACCGTAGGTCTTCTGCAACATTTTCAGTGATTCGGCACACGAAATTTCGTTTGAAAGACAAAATTTAAGGCAAACTCTTTGTTCAACTAAGTTGTCCATTGTAAAAATCGCAGAACACTCAAAAGTTTGGGTAACAGAAACAGCTGCTGTCAACACACTGAGTGACAGATCGCGCTCAAATTCCCACGTGGTACTCGGTACAGTGGTACCAACTTACAGAAAAAAAATTGTGGCGATATCTTTTACGAGCATCTTTCAAATGATAAATTCCTGGTACTTTTTACACAGAATGTATTTTAAGACTGTACTTATACCCACCAATAAACATCTATTAAAAAAAGAATATGAGCTAGAGTCAGTAGACCCTGTTTGAATCCCAGTGCGCCGATTTTACTTTTTATTTTTAATTAGTTTGTAATTTCACTTTGTAACCTCTCAGTAAAATAAAAACTTGAAAAATATTAATTTATGAGGTATTACAAAAAAAGGAAATGAATTTTTTCTCTTCAATATTTAAATTTTATATTATCTACATACTTATATTATGTTGTACATATAAAAATTATTCTTACAATTAGATGGTACCGTTATATTAACTATTGCAGTACATAAACATACAAAAATTCGTAGAAAAATCCATTACATTAAAATGTTACGTCATAAAAATCTTTTTAAAGGTCACAATGGGGGTACCAAGTACAGTAAAGTTTTGAATAGTACCCGAAAATCAGGGCTGGAGCCCGGGTAGTGACGGAGTACAAGAATCGATTCTAATATAGGATCTAATGTCGAACGTAGAAAGGGACCGTATTTGGTATCATTTTAATTAGAAAAATCTGACAAATACGTTGGTAAAAGTTTTATAGAAAAATAATAAAAAATACCAAATTTGCATCGTTGCATTAGTGTTGTTTGACCGACACGCGAGCATGTAATTTTTTTGGGCTTCCGCTTGGGAAGCCGCCGCTTTTTAATTTTTTCTTGGTAATCTATCAAATACCTAGACTAGCGCAATTTCAATTCGATCTAAGGGCACGTTTGACCCCCTTATCCGGCTATAGCCCTTATTAGCAATCTTGGATGATCAATAGAAAGCTGGAAGATAACTTTTCTATTTTTCAAACATATTTTACAAATCACATACAATACGTTACTTTGTTGATCAACCCTCTTAGTGACAATATAAGATAGTCTGAAATGCAAGTATTATCTTATAAATCATAGGCTCTAGAACAAATACGCCAACAAGGTTTGTCCGTTGCCATTTTCGCCTCAGGTTGGACACACGAATTCTTCGGACCGAAAACATTCTACGAGCTAGAAAACATGTTCTGGGCTCAACTATTCCCTTATTTATATATTCACGTACCCATCTACGAGGGTGAAGTGTTCGAGACATCTTTCTGCCGTGGAATTGGTAGTTCTTATTACCGCTCTGGTGAGGTAAAAATAAACTTTTTAGAAAATTAACTTAAATCTATGTACATAATATGAACAATTCAGATAAAACATGATAGAATATTTTTTAAATATATAAAAAAAAGGAACATTAATCATCCCGAGGTCTTATACTCAAAAAATATATAATATAACTTGGAACTATTTCCTTTATAACATTGAAAGTCATAAATAATGACCATTATTCTTTTGTAATGAAAGTCGGTTACGAACATTTCATAATTAACATTACTTTATTATACGTTCTCCTTAATTATAAAATTGAGCAATTGTTATTCAGTCAAAAATTTCTAATCACTGTTCAATGAATTATCGACGTTTATGATAGAATATATTTATTACTCGACAAAACATTAGATATGTATCAAAATTTTCGTAATAATGCAACAATAAAACATATATCTCTGACAGATGCAGTTGGAAGTGCGTGTCGTGGAAGGAAAAACTATCTATGAGAAAAAATCATTTTACAACTTGTCATTGCAAAAACCTCAGATTTCAGTGGCCGTACCACACCTGAGGTTCACTCATTTCCCTAATCTTCCCGACCCGAAGAAGGAAAACGACGAAAAGGCACATTCGAAGGAAACAACGGAGTATGTGTATGAAACGAAAAAGAACATTCTTCGAATATTAGGAAATGTTGCTACAATCGAGAATAAATCGTCCATGTTAGATACAAATTATTTGGAATTTTACGACCGATTGTCTTATGACGGAGGTGGCTGCTTGAAACTAATTACGAACGATCCTAGATCGTATCATAGGTGAGGACCACATACACTACAGCTCGAACGTGTCCAATGATAAAATATAACATAGATGATACGTAAAATGTTCTTGGTCTAACTTCAATATCTCTTTATAGATTATTTTTAATTCACGTCGAATTTCAACAAGATATCCAAGCGACTATTGTATACAAAGAAATTGAGTCTGCAGTGGTAAACCTAGGACGAAGCGAACCGATATTAATTATAGGCAACGATGCTGGTTTGAAGTCTATTTTACCGTACAAATTGGAAAATTTGGCCTCTAATTAAATATATCCTGGTATCATACAAAACAAGGAGAACTAAAGAAGAATTACTAAACACATACTTATTTAATTTTATAACATTCCGTAAATGAACGGAACACATTTTCAAGGACCCGCCTAATTGAATTAGTTTTATTTTATACATGTAGATTAAGTTTAATCAAAAAGTTCGGGGACTTTCTGTATAAATCATTTATTGTATTACTGTATATCTTTGAAATTTTTGTCCAATTGTCAGAAACTATGTGATAAGCGGAAGCCGAAATCAAGTCTAGTGCCTTTTGCAATTTCTTAATTATTGTCTCTCGCGTAGCGGTACGTCGTTCTTTTAGCATTAGTTCAGGCAAGGGAAGAAGATGAAAATTTCTTAAAATTATGTAATCATAACTGAGGACAAAACATAGGTCTATATTCACGATGCGGAGACGAAGCAGCAATCGTGCCAGTGGGTGAAGGAAGGTGAGCCACGTCCGAAGAAAGAACACACCTGTCGCTCAAATGTGAAACCCAGTGGCTCGATTGCTGTTTCGTCTTCACATTGTAACCGTAGAGATAAGTTTTCTTCTCAGTTATGGTTAATTTAAAAAAATGTTCATCTTCTTCCTCAAACAGATGCTAAAACAACAAGGTTTCGTCACTCGAGAGTGTATTGTTGCTTTCTGTTTATAGCGTTTACTGGACAAACGTGAGGACCGTCAACGAAATCGGTATATCCTTCACAAAACCCTGCATTCACTACCTGGGCAAGATCATTCTCGAAGCAAAGCCAAGAAATCACGTAGGTAAATCTCTCCTTACACTGTCGCCTGCATTCCGTATTACGTAATTGTTACAACAATTACCTCTCTGAGGGATATTGTTAAAACATTCTACCAGCTGTTTTATAATGTACATTGTTATTGTTTATAACAAATGCAAATCGAGATATACAGAAACTTCTAAGATATTGTTCGTTTAATGAACGTTCACGTGGCATAAGAGTTATTTTATTGCAAATTATTAAACAACGATTATATTTATAACTTAACATTTACAGCAACATGAGTATGTATATCAAAATAAAATGATACTACAATAAAATTTTTCAAATGTTTTCAGTGTCTGTTGAATTGAATAAAGGGATTACGTAAATATCTAAATATGTATTTATCTATATGACATTCATTCTCGGACTTATATTTCTGAAACTATGAATTTCTGTAGATATGAATCCATTGACGTGTAATATGATGTGTGTGTGTGTGTGTGTGTGTGTGTGTGTGTGTTTAAAATTGAACAATAAATGCATCATTACTTATATGAAAATTCTGGTCCATCGATCGTGGAATATCCAAGTAAGTACATACGTTTAAAATGAAAGTGGTGATTCTCCTAAACGGCCGACAAATTACTCGAAAGCGGTTATAAGGGTTGCACTAGAAAGAGGGAAAGTTCATCTTCAGGCGAATTCATATGTATGTATATGGGTATATGTATAATTCCACGCCAAGCAGATCACTTTTGTACCGATGTTTGGGATTTTGGTCAAATTGAAATATAGTCCATGCCAAAATAGGAGGGGTTTAAGTTATAATTTCGTTGATTTTGAAATTGTTTGAAAGATGCCAACCCTCAAATTTTGCATTTATCACCGATCTTTACGAAAACTTGCTTTACAAAAGAATATATATCACTGCAATTATTAAAGATACGAACTTAATCTTTATTTCATTTTAATTGTAAAGGATCATTCTTTTTAACTAATATACAATGGTATGGAGAAAATTATTCCAAACACTAAGAGTAAATGACTATTATGAGATCGCGTTGAACGCCTCACCCTCTGTGACTCTCTCTCAGCCTTTTCACTCATGCCAGTGCATTCGGCACGGCTCACTATCCCGCTACAGATTACAAGGAGGTTTCGGGAGACCCAGCTCCCCTAATGTAAGACCACCTCGCGAGGCTAGGCCACGAGGTAAACATCGCAACGTATGGCCTGTTTAATTCACCACCCACTGTTAATCACGCACCAAACATCCTACCAAATATGTACAAGCATATACACGATGTGCTCTGGGATCAGACGAAGAAACCTTTTCCTTTTTGTTTATTTAGATGTTAATAACTAATCTTGCGTTTGGGGGTATTGTGGACATGGTTAACACTGGGTGGTGCGTGGTGGAATTTTTTGCACATGGTGTGTGTAGCTGGGAACCTTTCCCCCGCACACACACACTGTGTGCTCAAGTTCTTACGACAGCTGTATTATGCAGAATAGTCCCTGCCAAACAAAGACATGGCGTACAAAATACAATATGTATTATTGAAATTATTTATGCGTAAATCTCGGAAAGTAAGGCCGAGCGGCAGTAACATGTGTAGGAAAAAGGTATTCAGAATGATGACCTTCACAACATCTTTCGAGGTCATTAAAATCGGTGAGAAGGTCAAACTTTTAATAATTACCGATTAATCGATAATAACGAGATGTATTAGTTATTCGAACAATAATTCGTACTTCATTCAAATCGTACAAAATTCAAATAAAATTGTGCCCTTGGAAATAATTGTTATTTCATGGTGGAATTTTTCGGGTTATATTTATTGTTAGATTCTTCTTCCCGCTCGTGAATTATTCAAATGAAATTCTCCTAGCTTTGTTAGGGAGGGGCGAAGGGGAGAGAGGGGGGCAGTTACGTTTTGCAACGAAGAAGGACGGAGAAAGGTCTAAAGAGAGTCGCAACCTGTACCTCTCGGAACGATCCAGTCACTGATCGCATACTAGACAGGTCGGTCGTCGCGCAACAATATCCTCGAAATTTCTCGATCGCCGCGTCGAGACCGATCATTCGTCCAACCAACGACGCAGCATAGTGCATAATACCCGATCCGTGAAGTGCTCTCGATCCCTCCGTGGGACATGTGACCAACGAAAGCGATAGACAACAGTGGCAAACGTCGATCTGGTAAATACTCTTACGTTCGTTCAAAATATTTCTCGGTTTCTTCGCAAGTAGGATTCACAAAGAAACCGCAGAAAGACTCGTCGAACTTCTCGATCATATTCACTCACGAAACTCTTTTTGATTTCTCGTCATTCTACTCCTTCGCATTTTATCCCGACGAAGAATCGTAATTCTACTACTTTTTTCTTTTTGCATTTCAAGAACGATTTTTTCATTATTATTACAATAACAATACAATCATGGAGGGCGATCGAGTTACTTTGGAAGATTAATTTGTTATGGGTTCAACAAACTGCCGAATTAATTATGGCATGGCCATGTGAACAAATTTGTCGCCAGATGCGCTCAAACTTTTTTGTATTGGTGACATTCTGTACTTACTTTGCTGTTCAGTAAAGTTGTCATTATTACTTTTGTGGTAATAGATCAATTTGGTAGACAAACAATTTTTTTGGCGGTTTAGAAAGTGTTTATTGAATTAAGAGTATCACTATTTCTTTTAGTGTGACTGTGTGTTAATATGAAATTATTAGGTATGCTTCGGAATGCGAAATTATATTCATATATAATTATAGATTTGATATTCGCGTAATTCTTTCTACAATTTAGAATAAAGATTATTTTTCGCACAATAAGCAGATTCAACGAATAATAAATGAATATTACTCAATGGAGAATGAATACAGTGTGTTGAAAGAACTATGAAAAAATTGCCCGAAAAACAAGCCAAATTCTTTATTTCTGGTTTATGTCATTTCTGAAATGTTGAAATTTATCTTAAAATGCAATAACAATAAATGAATAATAATAAAAATGTAGACCGCGAGATTATTCAATAAGAGACGCATATAGGTAAATCATTCAAAGATAAATTAATTATGAATTTCTAAATTGTTGTAGTCTTGATAACGAAACTTGGCAAACAAGTTATATTAGTTCAGTATATGAATTATTATTGTTAATGCTTAACAATTATAGTACATTCAATGATAGATCTCCATGAGAATGCAATTTTATGTATAATTAATTTGTTACTGGGATAATACTGACATTAATATGTAAAGAAAATTTCAAAAAATTGCTAAACTAACTCTTGGTAAAAAGAAAAGAACGTGCAGCTAATGACATAACTGTGAACTGCTGATTCCCGCATGGAATTTTTAATCGTCACCGTGCGCAAACACCGTTTCAAAAGATGTAAACGGCCGAATCCTGCGCTTGCAACCTGTACTTACTACTGTAACAATCGTTGTATTTAGTGTTGTTAGCGACGTGTTCAGTCGGGATTCTTCATCCGTGTGCACGAAACCCGTTTTCCCATAAGATTATCATTCGTTTATTTTATTTCATTGAGATCCATAAATTTATTTACAAAAATCTGTCTGGTATTTGTTTGATAAAATATTCGCACAAAAATCATGAACGGTGCATTGAAATTTAGGGAAATAAATCACAGAACGCTGCTAGGAACTAATAAATTCGATAAACTGACGAGTTTCAAATTTGTTTATTTTATAGTTATTGAAATCATGAAACCATCTACTCCGGAATTTATGCTGATCTTGAATTTATCATGCTTTTTGTATTATATTACAGTAAAATATTTTGTACGTTACAGGTATTAATATACCTATCCCATAATTTAATTTTGATAACTATATGTCTAACGCTAGTAGTTCCATTGTTAAAATGAAAGTAATCAAATAAATCAGCAGAAATCACTGTTTGGTGTATGAGAAACGTAAATCAATTACATATAAAACACAAAATATCGTTATAAGTTATTGAAATAAAGTTATCTATAGGACATCGCTAACATTATGTATTTCTCTATACTTTTATATTACATTGTTTATTTTGCGGGTAGATGTAGATGTAAAAGTATATGTCATGTGTTACGGTTTCCAATAATAAATATACATACATAGGTGTATGAACGAGGAAATACGAAAATATGGATGAAAAAGAAATAAGAAGGTATCAGACCCAATGAACACTTACATAATTAGTTGTGGTGCACTAACAGTCGCAGTGAGCGCTTCAACTTGAAGTCTCATAAAAATCTGATTTTTTATTAAAAATGTTGTCCATAGAACAACTCCAGTACAAATTCAGACGCCATTTAAAATAGTCTGAATTTTTCATTAAATGTCTTTTACTAGCGATGCTGTATCAAAGAAATTCACATCAGCTCAAAAAGACTACTTCAAACATTTATCTGGTCTAGTTCATATTATGGTCCGAACTTTCTAAACTTTTTTAACAGTCAAATTTATTTATAAAAATATTGTGCACGGAACAAAGATAAGTTACTTTTCAAGGTCAGTGCGCACGTTCCACCGTAGAATTTTTCCAAGCCGGCTGTGTCTTAACTGTACTTGATTTACAGACATTGAGCATCACGTCGTATTTTCGTCGGCTAGTAGACATAACGGGGTCAATTTTGCAACAACTGAAATTCAAACATTCCGAAAAATTAAGAAAAACTTTCCGATTATTAGATGTCTCTGTCGATCTTTGGACTTTTTTTCTTTTGGATTTCAATCTTTGTTACTTTTTTTTTAATGCCGTACTGAGAAAAAATGGATTAATATGTGTCTTAAATTTGGACCCCGTTAACCGACTATTAATGCAATTGTTGATCGTTTAATTTACAGATTGTTGGGATTGAACGGATTATGCCGTCTATTCACCTTCACCGAATAGCACTTTGAATCTACAAGGTAGCTAAAGAAATCATTGAATCTTCATGAAAACGTTGATCAACAATTATACACGAACTTTACAACCAAACTTTATTCATCTAAACAATATACGTATACGTTATTACAAAGAGAAAAGTTATCGCGTTTCGTTTCAATAATTTTATCTACATCTTTCATTTGAAGAAGTTTTTCGTAATTTCTAAGAGAGAAGAAACAGAGAATTGATTGTCAGCTACAAGCAAAGAGAAGAATTATTACGAGAAAATTAAACACACTCACTAGATACCTGACACACCTTATGATAACCAGTAAGAAATTCATCTGAATCTTCCACTTCAGTCAGTGTTTAAGAGAGTGGTAGTTGAAGGATATTGATGAAAAGTGATATTACATAACAAAACGTTGTTTGAACGTTCAACGACCGGAAACCGGAACCGAGTATAAGAAGAAGGAAATACATATAGTGATGTACTGAAGGGTTTTCCGAGTGAAGAAACATGGAGAATGCGGCGATTGCGCTCGACTTGACGGTAAGAAGCCAAGATTCGAGTAATTCAAAGAACTCAAAGGATTCGAGCATCTCCGAATCGAAACCCGAGAGTTGTTTAGAATCGAAACACTCGAAGGAGATTCTTATTTCCGAAAAATTGCAACGGCAACAACAGCACCAGCCGCATCAGCATCCAGGCGAAGCGACTAGACTCAGGTGCGAACAGCTGAAAGATGACTCGAATTTACTTATGTTCACTTCCTGCGGCCAGTTGCTACTCGGTGAGTAAATTTTCGTAAAGTTTTTTCAGGAAATAGATCTTCCGAAAACAAAATAGAAATCCTTGCACAGTTTTCTTTCTTTTTGTTTGTTTAGAAAAGACACCTTGTATTCCTTAAACTTATATTCGAGCAATGATTTTTTATGAAAGAACCACGATTCACCTTGTTCATTTGAGTTCTTTTCAAATATCAGTCACTTTACTTTAATGCATGTTTGAATATTGCCGAGCTAAACTGGAATGATTTTCTATACGTACATATGTCGATGAATGACTGAACACTTTTGAGTATCTGTAAATAACGAAGAAACGAAGTTTCTATTGTATGCAGGCTGACCAGACATTTCTCCAAAGTGCATAGAAATCGGCGTAAAAGTGAAAACATTTCACTTTAGAAAGTCATACTTTTGTAACCCTTTCCGCAGGCTTGCATACCGGAGAGAATCACCATGGAGCGATTCATCGTGATTTAATGTTCAACTACAACAACGGCTAATTTATAATTATAATTAATTTTATATGGGATCTGTTATTTTGTTTTTTATTATTGAAATTCATTGAATAGTTCGTTGCGTGAAAAACTTATGAAGCATAGATCTTCATAATGTACAAGTCCTATACGGTCTGCCTTGTCTCCCTAGTATTTTTGATGCTTCAGCTTTGCTATGGTGCTCTAATTGTTGTCGTCGTCGTTGTCGTCATAATCATCATAATTGTTGTTATTATCATGCAGTTTTTCACGCAGATGATATCGCTCTGGTTTGATTGTTGCAAAAATTTTCTTACTACATATTATTGTTGCGTTGAGTATGACTGTTTTTTTCGTATGCGTGACTAGATGTGTGTTGGTAGTTCAAGTAGTTGTAAGTTTTGTATGAAGGTCTATGGTGTGATGCCTGTGACCTGTGATTGAAAAATTATAAACGGAACTAAATATTGTTACTTTCTTTCTTTCCATATACACGGGTATCTGTGTCTTGAAAATTACGGAACCGTGGATTTAAAAATATGTTAATACACGTGAAATAGAAAGAGGTTTTTATTTATAATCATATAGTATTGTTAGTAGATATTATATTTGCACTGGCACAACAAAAAATACTTAACATCTTATTTTTTCTGGAAGCGTCATTTAATTATATACTACATACCTACGTATTTTTCATTAAAAATCTCTGGTTGACTATTTATGCAGTAACTGGTCCGAAACTTCTGAGGGAAGTCTAGGTGAATTTTAGTAGCTATAAAAAACTTGCATATAACACATATTCTGGGCATAATTTACTACTTGTTAAGTGATTAAAATAAAGTGAATTGACCGTGCGCAGGTATAGTGTTGGTGGTGTTCGGTATTCTGGTATTAGTGCACGGCGCCTCTTTGGGCGGTTCAGGTGCGGGACTGTGGGCAGGTGTGGGTGCCCTTGTCGCAGGTGCGCTGGGTGTTGTTGCGACCCTCGCGACATCCTCGAGCAAAACTAATTCCAATTTTTCGACGGCTTACCTCGCCGCCAGCCTGATTGCCCTTGCCCTCTCGAACATGGCCGCCATCACAGCCTTGACAGCTATCGTCAGGGACTCCCAGAGGACTCCGGAAGTGACTTTACTCACGGTACGGGTACGTAATGCTTTATCAGCTCTTTTCTGATTCTTCTCCCGGAATGGTACATTGATTTTCGTTCTCGAAGATAATAGGTACAATACGTTAATCCTCTAAAGTAACATATTACTGCTTCAAAATAATACATGGGTCGTTCGAAATATTGTTCCGATAGAAATAATATGTTAATCTGCTAAAATAATTTGATATGTATATTCAAGTATGTAATAGTTAAGATTCGGGTTAGCGGTAAAAATATAAAGAGAAAAATTGACGGTGCGTAGTTATGCGAGCCTGTTGAAAATCAAAGCCAGGAGACTGTTAACGGATAAAGTCGTCAGTGGGCACCTGGTTCAATGAACAGAACCTCTAACAATGCATTCCAGCATAAATGAAGCTGGCATTCGAAGCAAGCCAACGATTGTATTGTCATACTTCTTTAAGACACGCTGGTTTTCTTGTCTGGCCTAAATAAGCTAGTTTACTAGTTAATAAGCTAGTTACTAGCGACACTGTGGGGTCACCAGCGACCCCACTACATTTCAATCTTGTCTACAAAGTTGTAAAGAAACAGTAGAATATTGACCTTTTCTTTACCCTCCTAATCTCTGTTACAATTTATGACGTAACAGAAAACAAACAAAACAACAATATACAGATCCTCCAGTAAAGAGTTCTAGAAGAATCCTAGAAACAAATGCAGCTGACATTACGAATAAGACAAGAATTGCATTGTCCCGGGACGATTAACGAGAGTCTTGGCGGAAGGACACATTCCATCGTTAGTCGATAGTACCAATGACCCCGATTTAATACTCGTTTGTTGATCGAATTGACGAGTTTCGGCGAAGCAGACCGGCCTCAATAGCGTCGCTGAAACCGTCTGACCCGGGAGAAAGTTACCAATGCCAGGGCTAAAACGCGGTCAGTGTACGCCATCGTGAAATCCTCACGGATTGCTTCATCTCTAGACCCCAATAGAATGTCTGGTTCGTACTTCGTTAGAACACTTCCCCCTTCCGACGAACTTATCTACTAATTCAAGAAGTTGAGATATGTATACATACATATAGTCTTTTGTACTCACCGTAGTGCTATCACGAACCTCTTCTTTTGTTGTCTTTTTCTTACCAAAAGATTTTCTGCAATCTCCATTTTATCTCACTGAATGGATTAGCAAGACCTTCTTAGTATATGAAAGTATATTCAGAGACAAAATCTCAACCATCAAGTATGACCAAAAGTTGTCTAAAGGTAATCCATCAACACTAACAATAAGATGACAGTACTAATTCTAGTGTGGGAAGTCTACGATCGGGATGAACGGTATTTTTTATAAGTCTAGTTGCTACCGTTCTTATAAAAACCGCCTTTATAGGTTAAACACTTTCAGTATTTGCTTACCCTTCACTAGAGAAGAGAGACAAGCTCAACTTTGTTAGTAGTACAGCTTCTTGCGTCCTGAACTACCGTCTGGAAGACCCTAAGTTCGAAACCCGGTGGGTAATATTTTGTTTGGACGTTTCAGAAATAGTAGATCGTTAAAAAATCTGAATCAAGCGAATTTGGATTTGATCAAATACATTTTACTTCATTTTCAAGTAGTTTCTAGTAATTTAAACCCTTATCATTTTTTTTGTAAATGGTAAACCATCGCACAGTATAATATGTCAGCAATCTAGCGGGACAAAATTAACGCACCAAAGAAATCTGTATTCTAATCTATTTCTATAAACATATCGCCTAAGGCCTAAACATACGGCCTAACCTCGGATATCCAAAATTTCGGTCTCGGTCGGGTTTCCGAAACATTCGAACGCTCGCACCGTCCCACAGTGTAACGAAATAGAGAAATATCGATCAAAATTAATAAATCGTTTTTCTTCACGTATAAACTTATCCTTCTTTTTTAATGCACGTATATACCCGTATTCTAGTTATCTTTACAATTAATTTTGTATAAATGAACTTTATTACAAGTTTTTTTGGATACACAGCATGGTTTTATTTTTAATCATTTTAAATCGGTTTTATATATGTATATTGGAATAATTTGTGGTTAAATACAAAAATTGGGACTATTTTATAAGTATACAAATGAAAAATTCTTTTATATATTTACTAATTTTATTGTGGGTTAACATAAAATATTGTTGTTTTTATGAAATGAAATTTAACGAGGACAATAAAACAGTATGTAGAAAAAAGATTAAGAGCCAATCATGGCTTGCAGCTTTAAATTTTTGCAATTTCCTGCAAGATTTTTCCCATCTTCTATTTAAATCTATGTGAATACATGCAGCAAGTTTGGAAACAGATTCTTTACAGTCATTCTTCAATAAAAACTTTGTACAAATGTGGTTTATCAAAACATTAACTTTTACGGACTTGTACACAACACACCAGACTTCAAAACATTAGCTGTACGTGAATATATCTAAAAACACAAAAAAAAACTAATTTGCGCAAAAAAAGAATAAGAAATATAGAATTAAAGTATACATAATTTAAAGTCATTGTACTAAAAAACTGGAAATACATTTTTTGACATATTTAAAGAAAACCTTAATCAAAAATCCATTACGAAATATACCCATATCTTCTATAATTAAGGCACTATTCCATAATCAACTTACCCATTTTATTCTTATAATACTGTTGATTGATATTATAAACAAAAACTTTAATTACAAATGAACTAGAATATATAAAACAGGAAAATGTATATGAAATTATTTTCGACTACGTTTTCCGTCTCCATGTAACTATTGACGATTGCAACATTTAATTGTTTTTTAATATGTTCATAGCGGACAGAAGTGTGGCCAACAATTTTTCATAGAAAAAAGTTCCCTAAAAAACATTTTTTATTTTAATTTTGAACGGGGATCGTTATACTGTGGCGTCCGATGCGAGTCGCACGGTTCGACGTATGTAGTCGAGTAGCCGATCGGTAGGTTATAGACTGTCAATAGAGTGAGGGTGGACAGGAAAGACGGTAGACAACGTTGACAAATTTTGCGCAGAAATGTTTTCAGAACCACTGTCGTATATTCTTCAAAGTGACAACAGAATGTGTCATCAGAATCTTCGTTAGAAAAGTTTGACTCACTGCGAAACGATATCTATTCTACTAGAAAATTAATTCTGTTTATTGAAGAAAGACGAATTGAAAAAAGTACCTCGAACAATGCATCTTTTCGTTGCTGTTGTGTAAACATCTGCAGGATAGTTGGTAACGTTAGCGATATTTCTGAAGACTAGCGCATTTGTACATTGTGTTGTCATTCGTGGATTCTTGCATTTCCATCACTTTTGTTTTCATCGAACCTAGGCAGCATGAATCTTTTTATTTGAGACATTCTTACAATAGCAGACTTGATTAACGAAAAGCAAAGTTCTGTGTCCGATAGGTTTATCTATGCATCACTGGGGATAGGATTTGAATCCTGTACCGCCGTTGCAATAAGTGACAAAGAAGCGCGTGCAGCTCTAATACAATTGGTAACGTTGGCAATGTTTCCGAAATCTGGCGTATCAGGTATTAGAGCAGCACGTGTTTTTACTGCTTATTGCAAGAATTGCACAGGTTTCAACGCCTGTTTTTCGCGGGAAATATAAAACCTGACTTCGAATTTCTGATAGAATGAAAGTTACACAAATTGCAGAATGAAAATGGGGACGTGGACGAAGTAGAGGGTGGCTGGGCAAGTCTGCTGGCAAGCATAGGCCTGCTTTTAACCAGTGTAGCTGAGCTAATAGTCTCCGGCTACAGTTGTCTGACCTTGACCCCGAAGCTCTGCGGATGCCTTAAGACGAGCAACGGTGACGAAGTGTCCAGCGACGGTCGACTGAAAACTCGCAACATTGTTCACCAGTGGATCACGGCTCAGAACCACCTACCGAAAAGCCAGCCGATCTACGTGATGCAACCGATGCTGCCAATTCATCCAATGATCCAGGTGAGGACCAATCTTCTTCTCCAACTCACCTGTCCTATCGACCCCTACCAGCCGCAGGTAAGGATAGGTCAGTGACTCGCGAGTTAGAAAGTTGGACTATCGAGAGAAACTCGTCGTTGCTCTGAACGATCTCAGTGCTTACATATCGGAGATACATGAGCTCCGTGCACGTGTTTCTGCGACAGGAGAATTAATCTTGCTGCTCCTTGAATTCCCTTTGAATGACGCGAGCCTCGAATCCGCTAATTGGATAATGTTAGCAACTTTAACCATAAAATACTATAAGAATACCGGCAAATATAATTTCTGCTTAAGGATCAAGTGATTCAGATTCGCATAGTGTTTGTCCCTCCAGCCGTAACATGCTATGGAAATAGTGGCAAGAAACATTTGCACCAGACAAACAGTGAGATTGCCAGATGGCACTAGTTCTGGCAAAATACTCAAATTATTAACTAATTAGTGTACTACATATATTAGTAGACCACGATCAGTATTGATGCACCAACGAAAAATATATTTACGTCTGATTAATTAAGGAAACATATTTACTGATTTTTTTCAAAAACGCTTGAGCGTTGTGCCTTCTCACTTACACACATTTCATATCTAACCGGGTACTACAAAATCACAAAGTATACAAAAAATCGGAGGAGGGAAGGTCTTGCTGTACTCTTGTTAGTAGGATATATCCTTAGAAAGTTCACCAATAAAACCTCGAGTGGCTTGGATAACATCCCCTTAGAATCCTAAAAGACCTCCCTTACGAACTAATACTACTTATTTAGACATATAGCCGTCTTATTTAACAATGCCCTCAATCACTATTATTTGCCCAAGATATGGAAAAAAGCCTAAGTTCTGCCTGTTTTGAAGAAAAGCAAAGACCCTAACGATCCCTCCAGCTACGGTCCGATTAGTCTCACCCCCCAGTCTGAGTAATGTATATGAATGTATTATCAACACAAACATAAATCGTTTTTGCAACACCAATAATCGGGAGGTAAGTTGGACAGCGCTGCCTTAGTACTGAAACGTATATCTGGGACACCTTGCATAGTATAACTGTTTCTCGAATACCGCTCACACTTCTGATTTTTCGTGCTCCTTTGTTATACCGTCACAGACTGGCTGCGCTACACGAGCTTTTCCTCAAATCCTGAATGATTCTTGCCAATATTTTCATGACATTTTATGATCAAAGCGACAAACATTATTCGATCTGGAAGTACTTGCAAATTCCAAATTATGCTTATGCCATTCTTTGGCAACATTTTAAATGATAACACTAAAAGGGTAAATTAAAACGCAGTAATTGACAATTAAATTGTTTATAGAATAATAGTAAGCCTTTAAATTGTTACAGTCATCTTATGGAATACCAGCACCTCCTGCAAAGTTTCCTGGAGGATTCGTATCTGCTGGGCCATTACCAATTCCGTCTCCAGCCTATGGTACTATTCCTATGCTTCCACACTTGCCATACACTGGACCACCTTTATCCCAAATTGTAGGTACCTTTATTCTATGTAATACTCGTCATCTGACTCGCAATATTGAAGTTCGCAGTCATTATTGGTTTCACCGATTTTCTCAGAATAACAACACGGTTGTATTACAGACACGACCGAAACAGAAGCGTAATTTGAGTATGGAACACGGAAGTACAATGGAGAGAAAGAGGCAAATCGAAAATAAAACCGAATCCCTAAAGAGGATGTCCTCGATAGGTGAGGATCAAGTTGATTTGGCGCAAACTTACACAGGACTCGACAAAAAGATCTCAGAAGAGTTCATCTCAATCGCCATGGACCCAGAAAGGAAGTCGAAAGCTTCTAGTAGTCACGACAGTGAAATAGGCATGTCAAAAACTTGCTGAAAATAACAGAATACAGTAACTGTTATAACTATGATCTATTCTGGTAAATGAGTGTGTCAGAAGCTAAACTGATCAAATTAATGTAATAAAAGGTAACATAAACTGATTTTCATTCAATTTCAATTTGTCGATAACAAACAAATAAAAATTACATGGTACCATTATTATTTATATCACAACATGTAAATACATAAGGATGAATATACATAAAATGTTTATGTGAAGTGAATATATGTGAACTAATATATTAAAATTAAAAAGTGCATACAATGCAGGGTTGATCAATTTGGTTTTTGGATGCCTCAGATACTGCTGAACATTCACATTTGTTTCCCTTTGGTCTTTATATTATTTAAAGACTTTGCTCAATGCTTAATTTTTATAGATTCTCAAATGGTAAATATACATTAATTAATTATTATTTACTGTTACTAACTTTAGCCCACTTATCGATCTTTGACAGGCTGGTTGTTTCAGAAGCGTTGGTTTAAACAGAGAGCGACACATTTTGTTGGATTTTGTCTTATGGCTATGTACAGTTTGTATAATGAGAAACTGCTAGCTTAAAAATTAGTGAATTTATTTATTTTGATGGTACCGAGTACCGATTGTTATCAAATAAATGTATATTGTTTGTTAAAACTGCAGCAAGATTTAGGCTATAAAGATTAATATATATAACACATCCGTTTGTATAGTTATTTTTATAATAATAATATTCCAAAGGTAAACAGTAGCTATATTTCTCTTTGTATAATGTAAGATAAAATGTAAATCAATCAATGTACTAAAAACATAACGGTTACAATTCATAAGAAATTAAATATTCTAACTTATCATCTACAGATTTCAAAGTTAATTTGCATTTCTCAAACATGATTTTTGTTGGTAAATATACTGCCAAACTGTCTAATTTGTTATGTAATAGGAAGAAGTATGTATACACTGGTCGCTTTTTTTTATTATTTACATTAAACTATTCTATGATCCGATAATTTACCTTTCTGTTAAAGTACAATCAGATGTGAATAATAATTATCAACTGACCGCTACAGTAAAAAATAGTATTGCCAACTAAAAGCAAGATACAATTAACAGTGTATCAATACTTTTTTCAATAGATTTGTAACATTAATATCATCCTATATACTTCATATGTACAAGGTCTGATCAACATGTTCAAGGACTTTATGTGAAAATGATTAATTAATATACATTTTAACAATAATTACATCGAAAAAATCTTCTTTCCAGTTTTCGGAAGCGGCGTGGTAAGCGGACGCCAAAATAAAGTCTAGCTCCTCCTGCGATTTCTTAATTATTGTCCTTCGCGTGTCAAACGTCATCTTTTTACCACCCGTTTGAGGCGAGAAAAGATGACGACAATTTCTTAAAATTAATAATGAGCGGGGAACAAACATGGATCCATAGTTACAATGTGGAGGCATAAAGGTGTAATCAGGTGTAATCGAGCCAGTTCAGCCAGTAGATGAAGAAAGGTGAGCCACATCCGAAGAAGGCTTGTGTTACGTCCCGCGTTGCGGTCGTTAATTTATTTATAATTACGGGTCCTGGTTCTTTTAAGGTGCTAAAGCACGCCCTGTCTAAACTTACCGGTGAAGTACGCAATTTTGGATAGAGAACGGGAGGGATAGGAAATCACTGTTGTTTGTGATAACAACAAAGATATATTCTAACAATCCAATAAATAAAAGATACAAATAAGTCTTAACCTAATGATGATGAAGATGAATGATAGACTCGTGGGGGCTTTCCGTCGGTTCGGTCGGGATTTCGGATCCTTGAAAGGGCGGAAGACTCTGCCTGCGCCCGGAGCCGGCTTTGACACAGGGTTTAGGCACTGCAGGATACGGTGTCGCCATCTCGAACGTTGCACTTCGCGGTCCGGTCAGTCCGGTGTCTTATAAAACTTACCTGTACAGTGTAGCCTACAGCCTGTAGGCAGTGATTTATACGGTGTCGCCATCTCGAACGTTGCACTTCGCGGTCCGGTCAGTCCGGTGTCTTATAAAACTCACCTGTACAGTGTAGCCTACAGCCTGTAGGCAGTGATGCCAGAGTAGGCCGCGCGTAATCGCGAGGGTCGCGTCGCACAAGGAAGAGATATCGTCGCGAAACTGGACCCGAAACTGGACAGCTGAGTGACCGTTATTACTCAACTCGCTGTCGCGTGTAAAGATTAGAACAAAGAGCGAACGAACTTGCCGTGGCAGAAGCGACACACGAGCCGAAAAGTACAGAACGGTAACAGAGCTAACAGAGCTGAAACTAAGAGAGTTTCCCCGGTTTTAAACAATCGTTTTGTAGGTTCTTCCCCCTGTAGGCAGCTCAAAAAGATGGCGTTTCGTCTCGGGAATCGTCTACCAAGACTAGTGATGGGCACCATCGACTAAATTAAACTATCGACTAATGACTATTTAGTCTCAACATACTATCGACTATTTAGTCGATAGTTTTCAGTCGACTGAAATTTTGCTTTATAGGTTATGTATAGATTATGTCATCAACTTTTCAGCACCATTGGTGTATTTACCTTTTGGAAATGTATTAGTTCATAGATAGAAATTGAAAAATGTAAGTGGTAAACAAGTTTTTTTTAAACAATTCGATTTTTTGTAAGCTATTTAATATTGGCACTTAAAAAATTAACTGCTCTAAATTTTTTATGAAAATCAATTAAGTTATAAGCAATAATTTGCACAGTTCTTAGTAATGCATAAAAAAATATATGGAAAAATTACAATTGGTTTGCATCGCGAAGAAAATAGACAAGATCCAGTCAATAGCGATCAATAGCTCGATAGTTCAAACGACTGAAAGTAGTCGCTTCAAGCGACTAATATTAATCGACTGAAGTAGTCGTTGGTTACTATCGACTTAGTCGATGGTGCCCATCACTACCCAAGACCCAAGACTCGTCAGTGGGGCTGATGGTAGACGACCCCTATCCCAGACGCCTGGGTTGCTCCTCGGCGGAGCCCCTTAAGTAGCCAAAGGCTCTAATTACTGCTTGTAAGAAAACTCACCACCTAACGGCCGCTACCAAAAACCCAGGCGATTAGGAAAAACGTCTCCACAGACCGCCTGTCCCATCAGATCTCCTACACCCCCTTCCTTTATTGAAGAACGTGGAAGATACGGAGTAGCAACAGGCTATGATTCGTGATCATCGAGTCGCCGAGGCGGAGTTTTAAGAATCGCTGACGTTTCCGTCAGCGTCTCGAGGAAGGTCGACTATGAGCGCAGCTTCCACGTGTCGCTGAATTGATGGTTCTATAATAACACAAGCATGTGTTGCACAAATGTGAAACCTATTGGCTCGATTAATGTTTTGTCTCCAAATCGTAATCATAGACATATGTTTCGTATCCAGCTATGATTAATTTTAAGAAATTTTCATTGATTTCCTCGTTTTAACACCTCTGTTGCGTTTAACACTCGACACGTTACACAAAACTAACACTCAAAATAATTAATTTAGAACTATTTAACGCTAATTTTTAATCTACATTAATTAATTTATAACAACTATTTATACTAATTTTTGAACTGCAATAATGAATAAAACCTACAATATTTAAAGAAACCTGCAATAATTAATAAAACCTACAATATTTAATGAAACCTGCAATAATTAATAAAACCTGCAATATTTAATAAAACCTGCAATAGTTAATAAAATGTACAATATTTAATAGAACCTACAATAATGACTAAAACCTACAATAATTAATAAAATTACAATAATTAATTTGCACTATTTATAACAACGACGTACGCGATACTACTAAATAATCACTACGTAAACGCTAAATAAACTAAAACTTAGTTTTCCGAACATGAACTCGATTTGCTCGAAGAATGCAAAGGGCTCCGTTCGGAAAGGACAACTGATATTCTTGAACTGATCCAGTGATCCTCCCTCGTTAGGATCGATCATCGATGTGGCGTAATAGGTCGATCCCCACTCTTTCATAGTCAATACTTTTTGGGAAAGAAAAGCAGCATGGGAGAGTGGAGGTCGTGTTTCTCTTCACATATTCTTAGAGCAACATCTGTATTTTTTTTTTCATATACCACTCGGGCCCACTTGGCCACGATGCGCAGGCAGCGCAGGGTGTGCGAGTCTGAACATTGTAAAACTGCCTCTTGTCTTCTGCAGTGCGACCACCCACGGATTACCAAAAACACTGATTTTTACAAAGACAAATAGTAATGTAATTCATCGTAAAATCAAATTCACTCAAGATAAAAAAATTGCAATTACGGTCGTAAATGAAATTAAATTACGACCGTGATCGTGATTCGGCGATCACTGTGATAAATCACCGTTAGTGATTTTGCACGCCATCTCTAGTGCGGGCCCGTTGACCGATTTACACGCGCCACACGATTTTCTACTATGCGCGTCAAAATGCTCGTATATGCTCGTGTTCGGCTTGACGTTGCACGAAGTCGTTAGCTGTGCGTCGAGCCATTAAAATAGACCCTTTCAAGTGTGTTCTGCAACGCGCGTTGCACAAGTGTAGACCTGCCTTAACACTAGATCTACCAAGGGGGGTCAAAATTACTTGTTTGGCATTTCTTATAATCATTATTCATTTTCAGTACATTTTGTTTTCTAAAATTTTGTATGACTTTTTTTAAAATATGCAAATAACTAATTCTGTAAAACAGTTTACTTTTTTTTGTTTTTTTGATTTAAAATTTTATGTAGTATACCTCCATATACCGAGATGAGTCATTTTGACCCCCACGGAACGTAGGTAAACTTGAAGTTTCTCATATTATTTTTGTATAGTTCAAATACATTTTTAGAAAACTAAGTATATTTTCGTACATCTACATTGTACAAAATTACCATAAGAAACATATTATGTTTACTCAATTTTTTCATTCTTCTTTTATTTACTTTCTTCATATTGTTACGTGGCTGTAACAATATCTTCGCGCGTTTATAAAAACATGTGACGCTTGTATATATCGATATGCTTCTGTTTTCGATGCATCGCAGAAGTTATTTCACATTCAGCATTTGGCGTAGATATGACAGATCAAATGGCCCGAAAATATACCGTGAAAGCTGAATCCCGAAGATGGCCATTACAAGTGTTTTATAATATCTTAGATCTTGCCGGAATAAATGCCTGGATATTATATAAAGACACAACAGGATAAAATATTTCAAAAAAAGACTTCTTATTCAAGTTAGCCGAAGAACTTGCAGGTCACTACAAAGATCTAACCGGACGATCCTCAGTAGAAGCCGAAGAAATATCTTCATGTACACCATCACAAAACCAGACGCATATTTCGATGAAACGTAAAAAGTGTCAAATAGCAGATTGTACTAATAATAAAACGAAGAATATTTGTGGTACATGTCATAAACGAGTCTGGTACATGCTCTGCTAAAACAATTGTAACTTGTAAAAAATATCTTTGATTTTTAAGCATAATTATTTTGAAAATTATTGTTATTATATTATTATCATTATTCAGTTTATATTCAATTTTCATTCATAAAATAGAAAAATATATAAAAACGTAAAAATTGCTATGTCTTTTCTTAAATGACTTACTAATTAAAAAAACAAGTCATTTTGACCCCTCCGGTAGAAGTAGGTATTAGGTATACGTAAATCGCCGGTTGTTCTAGTGTTAACAGAAGTAAGCAGGCCGATAGGGGAGGGACAAAATAGCTCGCGAGCGGCTTGTTGGCCACCCCTGTCCTAAGATATACATATAGCGCAGTTTTGAAATATCTCCTAAACTAATATACGAAGAGGTTTTACATGTTTCTATAACTGCAATTCATTTTTCATTCTCTACGGTTTTCTGTTTAGCATAGTGATATTTGAAGAAATTTGGGTCATTAATTGATTTACATGTAATACACTTTACACAGTAAATTTATGATATACTTGTACCTGTAAGTATTCTTTAATTATGTGTAATAAGGTTTTAAATAGCTTTATTATATATTTTACTATATATTAGATTCATATTAAAACATTGTACAATTTTTACATGAATAATCATAAAGTATTCATTCACTACCTTATAAAATGGTTCATTCCTTTTTCAGTTCTGCTTTACCTTCAAGTGGATTTACCTAAAATAAAAAAAAACATGTTAAATAACAGGTACAAATACTTAGTGGTAATTGTAAACAGATATTTTGGATATAACATCATGTGGTTATGTGCAGGAACTGGAGACAGAAAGGGTACCTGTATAACTATTTCCATTTAACCCATGTTTCCTGACTATTTGAATTTTGCATCTCTGCTAGATGTGAAGTTTCATTCAATATGACTGGTTCTAAGCGTGTTGAATCATTTTCTTTATTACGGTCAAATGAAGCATCATGGGCCTCTAATGCATTATTAGATGTTTCAAGATCTATGATCAAAATTGTTTTAAAACAACGAATATACAGAGTGTCACTATAAATGTAGGACATTTTCACAGAGTGGATTCTAAATGTTGAAATAATAAGAAACCTGGATATGTAGATAAGCTATTATGTAACATGCTATATATGTAGATATGCAAGATTCGAACTTGCTTCAGATTCTGGGCTAGATTTCACGAGACTTCCATTCCATAGAATAGAAAATCGTAAATTAGTGTGAGGCCCAAAGGAATCATATTAGCATGATTCTCGATTCTCTGGCTAGCCAATTGCGCGGAGAAGGAGGGTAGAAGAAATAGAATAGAAGAACTAGTAAGTTTCTGATATAGGGTCCATAGATATTGAGAATCCTTATTTTCATTATTTTTTAAATAAATATTGCCTTCCTACAAGTAGTTTGGCCGTGCATTTTAAGAAATAACAAATTGTGTACCATTAAAAAATAGAACAAAATCGAGCATACATACATATGAATTGTTCTTATTTTTCAACATCTAGAATCCATCCTGCAAGAAAATGTTTCACATTTTTATTACCACTCTCTACAACTTTACAATTAATTGTATGTGGAATTTGTAATGTGTAGTACTTTATAAACATCTGTAACAAATAGTTCTAAGGATTATGGGGTAATCAAGACTGCAGAGCTGCATAACATAACTTCTGCTCCTGAAGTCGGTGCCCCACTACACGGCTCAAGCTGCCTCGTCCGCTACGTACAGAGCGTCGCATGCTACGGCGATGCGTTCCGTACGGGGAGGTCTTATCGCTGGCAGTGTGGTGGGAAGACTTCTCCTCGTACGGGCCGCAGCGCCGTAGCATGCTACACTCTGTACGTAGCGGACGAGGCAGCTTCAGCCGCGTAGTGGGGGTACCCCCGGAGTGGGGCACCAACTTTGGGAGCAGAAGTTATGCAGCCCTGCAATACAGTATGTACAGGTAATATCAGAGAACATTTTCAAAACAGGATGTGGTAAACTATAATAATGCGAGGAGATAAGGGAGGAATGATGCAATAAAGAATTTGTGTTTTTGCATCCTACCTCCTTTTTCTCAGTTGCAGTATTCGACACTTTCTGTTCAAAAGGTCGAGTTAGTATCTGAAAATATTCTGATTCGAGTACACTTTTCACTAATGGTAACTCTTTAAATGAAATTTCCGGTTTGTCATCTCCTGGTTTCACTGAAATTTCCAATTTAAATTAATAGTTTGTAATTTCTAAAATTTGTCTTGTTTCTGCTTTTTTGCTATGATATCAAATTAAGTAGGAATATAATTTTAATTTAAAAGGTAATAGTGTACAATTTGGTCGGTATCTCTCATTTTCTTCAAACTTTAATATGTTGAAAGAGGCCGTTTAAAAGGCAAAATATCATTTTAAAAAATGTCACAAACAATTATAAGTACATATCTTTAATTTCAAGTTAAATTTGTAACCAAAACGTCACTATAAATGCAGATTAAGTGAAAGAACATAAGCTGTAAACAGTAAAAGAAGAGGTTTGTTTATTTTCAAAGCATTATACTGGTCATAGTTGGTTAAAGCTAGTTTGATAAATAAAATAATTTTTTAAATTGTTTGCGACATTTTTAAAAATATTTTGCCATTTTAGAGAGCCCCTTTCACCATATTAAAGTTTGAAGAAAATTGGAGATACCGACCAAATTGTACACTATTACCATGTAAAAAGTACTATAAAATTCAGTTCAATTTAAAGAATTCAATACTAAAGTATTTAATATACAGTTCATAGTGTCTGTCATTTATAAAATTAATTATTATTATATGCATTCATCAAACATTTAAAACTTCACAAATTCCCCAAGATATAAAAAGAAATAAAAGAAATAAGAATGATATTATTTAAAAGTAATTTTTTAAATTTAAATCAATTAATATTAATATTTGAAATTAATAATATGTACATACCACCATATATGAAATTATAACCAATGTTTCCATAGTGTTCCACTACATTAAATGCTTCTTTTGTCTCTTTAGGGAAACAAACAGCCCCAACAGTACCAGCACCTGCTGTGGTATATAGAAATCTTTTAAAAAATCCTCCTCTAAGACCTAGTACCAATCCTGATAGGCCTCCAATACCAACAGCTCCAGCTCGTGGCCAAAGATTACTTTCGTCTTTAAGGTAATCAATTATAACTATAACAAAAATCATATAATCAGGACAAATAATCTAATCATAATTATTTAACCTGTGGAAATAGATCTATATTCACATATTTTATGAAAATAGTTCATAAAGAACATAAAACTATGTATGTGACTATTTAATTTAAAAAAGGTTTGACATCCATACGCTTGGTAGCTTTCATACTTCAGTTCAGATTGAAACATGACAGAATTTTTAATTAAAGCTCCTAATGTGATTAATTAAACTTATGAATGAAAATACAAATGTTGAAATTTAACATTAAACATAATACATACACTTAAAATTATTAATACTTGATGAAACATTCTGGGAAAGACCATCAAATATGACTTTTAATCCTTGTATTGATTTACGTACTTTTCTAATATTTTCCTCTACAACAGATGGAGGATACTCTGCACTAAAAAAAGCATGAATAACATTATATACATTATCATTCAATACACTGAAGATTTTTTAAACATTCTTTTAAAAACGAATCAAAATACATTTATCAATATGAAATTACTTGCGCTTTACCATGGCATCTGTTTAGAATACCCATCTTCAATAGAATAAATGGGTAGTTCAGATGGTTTTATTAATTTTTTTGGTTGCAATTCAGTACTACATGGCTTAGTATGATCTTCTGATGGACTGACAGGTTTCATTGCTGGTACTGCAGCACATAGTCCACAGGGCATCAAAAATTTCTTGAACAACTTCACATAAACATACATTTCATTTTCTTTACATATGAATAAAATTTAAGTTATTTGAGAAAACATTCTTACTTGCAATTTTTAAAATTAATAAATTTGATAAAAAAATCTTGTTTATACCTTACTGTAAAGTAAAACAAAATAGATAAGACTATATAGAATACAACTGCCTAATGAAATTGTACGTGTTTTACTGCTATTAACAATACCTTTTAATAATTCAAATTCACATAATGAATATTTATATAATTATACAATTACCATTGCTTTCTGCATGTCGTAATAAACAAAATTTTCTTAAATAATGAATCCTATTTACAAGTTATAATTCATTTATAAATTAGTTTGATATATTCACTGATATTCACGAAAATATTTAACCTAATTCAGCAAAAAGCAGCACAAAGGTAATTTCGAGCATTGGCCACACTGGCGTGACCACTGCTGGAAACTAAATAGTAAAACCCGCTCGAAGATTTAAGTAATAAAATTTTGAAAATTTCGAAATTTCATAGAAAAAACAAGTGTTTCATAGAAAAGCACTTTATAGTCCAGGTTATTAATCAAATATTCTATGGACTATACGAATGAATTCGTTTTAAATGAGCGTTCCACTAAAAACTTTTTTTATTCGCTTTGATTTTGAATCATTAAAGTATTAATATATAAAAAATGTGACCTATTAGTCATTTTTAGAATTTTAAATTGCAATTACATCCTTGTAACTAAATAGAAATCAAGATTGTGTTCCGAAATTATAATTACCGACATGTATTAAAACTTATTTATTTCTACGAAAAGTCATCTTAGAGATTATAACAAAATACAATTACGTAAGTAATGCAACATGTACGTACCAAATTTGTGTGTATCATTGAAAAATGTTTATACTAAGGAATGCTAAATTTAACCACTAAAATTAAAAACTTACATTACTTCATACAAAATTGACATATTGTGACAAATTCTTGTTTACGCAGTCATTTGCAAATACTAACGATATTTTCTATGGCTGAAAAGAAGAAGATCAGGGAACTCTTCGAATTTGATGTCTCCTATATCTTACTATACATAACGCTCAAAGTGCATCGAAAATATTTATTCAATAAAAATGCAATAACGATTGTTATAGAATGTTGGACATGAATTGATAAAAACTATTATATAACTGAATTCTTACTTTTACACCAGTTCTACCGAATTCCAATAAGATACCCGGTTGATAATCGTCGCAACGGTACACCGGTTCCCTGCAAGTTACATCTTTACCAAATATAACACCGATAGTAGATTCCAAAAATTTATGTACATAATTGTGCATTGCGATTTTGAGGGTTTACTCTCTTTCAAATTTTGACCCTTAATAATGACAAAAATTTTATATTTCGTACAAATCTAATAGTGAAATAAACAAGCCATTTCTATATATGGTATTGTACTATTTTCACACCAATCAGTAATTTGTTATTTTCTTTTCATGTACAAGGAATTTTTGTGGTAATTACTACACCCAGATAGCACACGACATTTTTAAGATGTCTGTTTTATAGCAGTTTTAGGTCTGAATGTCGTAGGACCTAATACCCAGATAACACAGAGACGGCTTTACGACGACTTAAAGACGCCTGTTTCATTCGTTCCAGTCGCGTTTCAGGCGTCCTGAATAGCTTACGAACAGCTTAGGCACAGCTTCTGACTGCCTAATGTAACAAATCAAGGCACTTTCAAGGCATCTTAAACAGGCCTGGATTAGGACTGAAGCAGTCGTTTAAAATACGTAATTCATTGTATTTATCGAATTTAAATTAGGTCAAATGCATCTCTTTAAAAGACGCCATTAATTGTAATATAAATTTAATCAAGGAAGCGTTTTCAAAATGAAATCAAACTTAATAACAATTCATTTCGATATACTATATCACCCACTGTGTGTTTACAAGTATTAAAGAGCTATATTTATACAATATTTAAATATTACTTGTTTGTTATACAGGCACATATATGTATATAATATATTTCTATTATAAGATTAAATTATCCACGAAATGAATACAGACTACACTTACAAGAAGTATGTAATACACATGTAGTTAGTACACAACCGAATATACAGAGTATACAAAGTTCACAGAACACACAGAATATATGCACGTCAAATATGTATAATATTATATGAAGAATACAAATACCATACGTTAGAGTATTCAAAATTTTACAAAATATACAGAACAAAATATTACAGAATATGAGGAATATAGATATAGAGTATATGTCAGTGCTTCTTAACAGTAGTGTTTCTAAAACTTGTTAAAGATGTTTCATGAAATTATTAAAACGCAATACACTAACTTGGAATCTGTACATACATGAGTTGTAATCTATAATTTTTTGAAAATTCATACAAATTTTTGTTCTTAGTTTTCTAACCTTAGTGAAATTATGTTCTGCACATTTTTCTTAGAATTAAAGATGTTGTATAATTTCGAGAATGTTATGAATTACTTATAAATGTATGTGCTTACAATAAGTGTCATATATTTAACGTAATAGAATCAAACAGCCACAAGCACAGCCGACTCTAGTACTAGCCGTGCTGAAGGTAAAAATGGCAACAACGCGGCAGCAGTGATGCCAGAATCGTAGAATTTGGTCACTCCACCCATTTCTTGTAACGTTTATTTTAGTTGCCAATCTTTATTCGCAACAAACATTATCTTGCTAACATATCATCAAATTTAACAACCAGAGAAAAAATAGTGCACTTCAAATTCTAATCAATTGGCAAAAACCATTTTAGCTTTTATGATAAGTTCAGCTTTTGAAAAATGTTCTAAAATTGTTAAATTATTACCAGTTTTTAATATTACCGGGAATAAAATGATACCGATTGTTTATCAAATTATAGAATTTGTTCAAAAATGTGGTTTCGAGATACGAATGATGGTCTACGTTTTCCTAATCCTTCACAATCTGATAAAATCATTTTTCTTTCTTTCGATTTTGTATATGTATATGTATAATGAAAAATATAAGAAATAATTGGTTGATTTTAAAAAATTTAAATAAAACTTTCGTTTTCCCCGATTTTTATACAAACGAACCAAGATTGCCTAAATTTAATGATTTACGTACGGTTTATAATTTCGAAAAACTTTTGATTGCTAAGAAAGCTTATAAATTAAATTATAAATCATTAAACCCAAATAATTTTGATCGATAAATGGTTTTTCTTATTGATAATATATTCCATCAGTCTACAATAGTAGCTATGAAAGATTTCAATTATACCAATACTGCTCATTTTTTAGAAATAATTCGGAACTGGTGGAACATTGTGAATAATACAAGTAGTGTAAACGGTAACAGGAAAAGAAACGAATTTTGTAAACCGATTTTCAATGTGTAGGTACTATCAAAGCTTTGTATCAAAGTACTACAGTTCTTTTACTACTTACAGAGTACGGTTTTCAAAATTTTGACATATGTTATCTTTTAGCTGGAAAATTTACAACTGAAAAATTAGAGAAACGATTTGGAAATTATAGACTTCTGTCTGGTTGTAATTATCATGTGTCATATAATGAAGCAATTCATGCAGAAAAACAAATTAGATTAAAACACACATTTAGAAAATCGGCAAGTTCGTTTTCTTTTACTGAAATCAAAGATAAATTTCAATTTTGCGACGACAACAGTAACGATCTTTATGATCTTTTCCATTGATGTGACTAGTTTTTCAAGAATCTTGGATACCGAATACGTGTCCAATTGTGTTGTAGATGATCCCATTAAAATTTACATATCTGGTTATGGGTCCCATTCTGTTGTTAAAAAATGAAATTGGAATATATGTTGATTATTAATTGTGGAGGATAAAGGTAAAATTGTAGGCGATGTATATTTTGATCACTTACAAAGAGGGGGCCTTTCTGTTCCCATTGAGAAAAACAATATATAGTGCGAAAAACCATAAACGGAAGTGCAAAAATAAGTGTTTAGAAATAAAGAAAAGAATTATGTAGTGTGTAAGAAATCCTTTTACGATTATGACATGGCAAAATATTATACATATAAGCCCTACAGTGTTTGTATGTACACACATATTATGTTTACAATGTAATTTTATTAATATTTGAAATAAAATGAATTTTTATTAAATTTTGTTTTACTGTAATAACATTTATCTATTCTCAACCACACCTTACCTTACCTGTAAAACGTCTGTGACACACGTCTATAAGACTTCTTGAAGCCATGTTTAAACAGTGTGTAACATATCTTTAATATGTCTATAAGCCATATCTAACACGTCTATTAAAAATCTATGACAGCCTTAAAATGTCTACAAGATGTCTGTAACACATCTGCATTACCTACAAAGACGCCTCCTGAGACAGCTTTAACCTGTCTTTAAGGTGGCAGTTAGCCCGTTTTAAGACATCTTCAAGACAACTCGTTTTTTCACAAGACACGCTCACAGGCTCTAGATAGGCTGTTCACAGAATATTACCAGACGTTTTCAAGATGACATGAATGTCTGAATACAGACATTTTCAAGGCAGTCACAAGACATACTTGTGCTATCTGGGCAATATTTGGTCAAAAATATTAATGAAATCAAACAGTTTGAAAGAAATAATATGAATATCTTCAAAGTTCCCATGATTAAGGTATTTTTTCACTATGGATATACTCTGCAAGGCGATTATATTTACTTTAATTGTATCATAAATTTATATCACCAATAAGGAGTCATATACGTTTCTTAACTTCAAAAAATTGATATTTTTTTAAATACAAGTTTTGAAACACACATCTTAGAAATATTTGAAGGCCAAATCGAACTTGAAAGTTGAATTATGTATTGACGAAGTTACAGCCCTTTGAATGAAATGAGCCATGCAGCTCCTCATATAGCACAAAAACGTCATAGGTATTATGTACGTCCGGAAAATATATGTTCTGGACGTTCGGTACATTCGGAGGATGTCCCGAAAAGGTCCACATGCCCACCCTACGTCTTCGTTAAGATCTAGAAATGTCCTAGGAAGGTCCTATTTACAAAGTGGCACGTCTTGAACATGTCCTGTGTCAACATTCTCAGAACGTTTTCCGAATGTGTAAATTAGGGAAAATAAATCACTACATCAAAGAGATAAAAACAATTTTATTAAATATATAATTCATTTTTTCATAAAATAAAAGTAAATATAAATTTCTTATTAACTACAATATTTTTTGGCTTAAATGTAATCGCTCATGATTATATTTTAAAAAAGTACATCTTATTTTAATGCTAATGTTTCCCAAAGTTTGTATTTTTTCATAACATTTACAATCATTTCTTGACTAACGGACCACAATCTTCTCGCAAGAGCAGAATCTAAGGCCGTAGTTGATGGATCACAACAGTAACAATTATTAAAATAAACTCCTGTTACACCTTCCAGTTCTGGCGCAGTTGCGCAAAACACTGATGTACTCGCTGCTTGTTGCTGTAAAGTTTTAGTTGTAGTACATATAATCAGAATTTCTTAAATTCTTACTTGAAGTAAATAAGTTTCATACCAGTGATTTTGTGAAAGGTCTCACTAACATGAACAAGAATCGCAGAATCCATGAATAACGAGACAATGAGGATGACACCATATTACCAGGATGGCAACTAAATACACTTACAGAAGGCCAACGTTTTGCTAATTCTTGTGTAAATAAAATATTACATAGCTTAGAATCATTGTATGCTCCCATGAACCAATATTTATATGCAGGAGGAGAGAGATTTAATTGATGAAAATCTTCTACCGTTTGAAGTGTTGAGAACCTACCAAAAAATATTGTACCTGAATTTCCATACTAAAGTTAAATAATTTATATTACTACATATAGTTACATTTAATTACAGAACTTTTTACAGTACCTATGTGATTCACTTGAAACTACCACTACCCTAGCATTATGACAACTTCGAATTGGATGTTCCAATAAAAGAGTAAAATAAAAATGAGAAAGATGATTCACTTGAAATGTTGTTTCATAACCATCTTCGGTAAGTTCATAAGGAATTGCAAAAACTCCAGCATTTAATATTAATATGTGAAGAGTTCTGGAAATGCAAAATGTATTATGGATACTTATAACATTACACTATTTTGTTGGTCTATAGTCTACAGTAATTATATTGCTATCAATTGTTTTTTTTTAATCTGAGTTTACCCATATTTTTGTTTAAATTCCTCAGCTGCTTTTTTTACACTATGTAGTGAAGATAAGTCTAATTGTAATGTTTCACATGTAATATTATCCCTTTCTTGTCGTATTTTCTGTACTGCTTCTTCACCTTTCTTTAAATCTCTGCAGGTAAGAATCACTTTGCAACCATGTAAAGCTAATGATCTAGCAGTTTCAAATCCTATAAGAATAATGTTATCTTGATATTAAGTGTGTGTATTGAAATAATTAATATAAAAAACATTTGTTATTACTTACCTATACCTGTATTAGCCCCTGTAACAATGGCAACTTTACCCCTTAAGTCTCGACCATATAAAACAGCTAATGCTGTACTACTTCCATCAAAACGCTGTCGTACAGGTTGAGATAATTCTCTATATTCCGTAGCAAATGCAAGTCGTGGATCAGAGTATGTTGTTGTGCGATTCATATGATCAACAAATAAAACTTTACCATCATCTGTCACACGTCTTTCCCATCCAGATGGTAATTCTAATTGAAAGATAATGTTAACAAAGTTTTGTTATCCTAATTTTTATCTACCGAGCAACTATATGTTCATTAATGTGAAATTAAAAAATTAATATGCACCATGTTTACATTGACATTATTACAAAGATATATGAAAAATTAGACATTGAATTTAAATGATCTACATTAATACATCGATTTGTTTAGTAATATTGTACCTCCTTCAACAATTTTTTGACGACCAGTTCTAGGATGTGTCCATTGTGTACCTTTTGTATAATGACTAAAAAAAATATTACAACTTATAAAACAATATTTTAGAAGCTACACAGATTTCTTAGCAAGTGCTGAGTGATCTGTTTTTATCCATTTTTTTGGATCTTTTATTCGATAATATTTTTTTTAATTACAAATATATCGTTACAATAAACTACGAGAAAAAGGTAAATTACTTCACATAATAGACGTTTCCATCAATAGTTGTCATTTCCTCCCATCCAGGGGGTAATTCGTCTTCGCTGTCAGAGTCATTTAAAATGCCTACCATTTTTTCTAACTTTTATTGAATGTGTTTACATCGGATTGCATCGCATTATTACATTCACTTGTTTATTGTTAAGTATTATTCATTTATCCAGTGGAAATTCATATATTTTCATATATGTATACACACGCGCGATAATGGCTGCGTTCAGCCACGGTCGTATGTATATATAATATGTATATGTATACAGTGCACAAAATGGAAATGGATGACGTAACCCCAGAAAAGTGGGCCGCAAAAATACATTGGATGAAATGTCTACTTCTATACCTCGTCTGTGGTTTAGGATAATAAATTTATTAAGGAACATTTTGTTGTTAAGAACAATTAATTATAAAACTGTGGATGTTTAACCTGTAAAACATCAGGTTATATAAAAATTAAAAAATTTAAACGAACTTTAGTATTTTATTCTTTTGTTGCGGCTTTTTCCAGGGATTACTTTTCAACTGAAAAATCAGGCGTGAATCCTCGCCCGTGGAGCGAGCCCTGTAGAATTTTGCTCGTTAGGAAATTTTTGACTTCTTTAAAGGAAACAACTTTGATTGGAAAAACACGTCTTTATTGATCGAAGGTCAATATACTGAAATGGACTCCGCTTTATAAAACGATCGTTTTTGTTACATCCTAGATAGCACACGGCTTCACGACGGCTTAGAGACGCCTGTTTCAGTCATTCCAGTCGCTTTTCAGGCCTCTTGAATAGCTTACGAACAGCTAGCCACAGCTTCTGACCTCCTAATGTGACAAATCAAGGCGCTTTCAAGGCGTCTCAAACAAGCCTGGATTAGGACTGAAGCAGTCGTTTAAAATACGTAATTCGTCGTATTTATCGAATTTAAATTAGGTCAAATGCATCTCTTTAAAAAACGCCAGTTGCACATATCAAAAATGGGTATCGATACTGATTAATTGTAATATAAATGTAATCAAAGAAAGCGTTATCAAAATGAAATCAAACATAATAACAATTCATTTCGATTTACAATATTTATTTATTTAAAACTTGATCACATTTATTTTTATTATTATTATTATTACATACCATGCTTGGTAAAATACATCATCCACCATGTGTTTACAAGTCTTGAAGAGCTATATTTGTACAATATTTAAATATTACTTGTTTGTTATACGGGCACATATGTGTATATAATATGTTTCTATTATAAGATTAAATTATGCACGAAATGAATACAGACTACACTTACAAGCAGTATGTAATACACATGTAGTTAGTACACAACCGAATATACAGAGTATACAAAGTTCACAGAACACACAGAATATATGCTTGATATAGAAGCAAATGTGGTTAAAAATTGTTTGCTGCAAAATACTTTCAATCATTCAAGTCCTCCTGCAGTCATTAGATCTCAATGTAATATTAGATTCTAAATTGAGAGTAATAAATATGATTGAATCCCATACTTTCAAAGTATATACTCACTTTTGACTCTCACTCTATATTATACAGGGTATTTCACGTAACTTGACCACCTTAAATATATCGCTTATTTTGTATGATAGAAAAAATATCAGGGGAGAAAAATATTCTGTTCGCAGGCGCCAATACGGTGATGGGCCGAATTTTTTTCTCAAGGTCGTTTTTTTCGAGATTTCAAGGTCATCGAATTTTTTTTAAATGGGACTACATATTTTCACTACAACACTCTTATAGCATATAAAAAAACAAATCCAACGAGGTGCAATATGTTGACCTTCACGTGACCTTTAGCGAAAAAATCATGAAATGTTTGTCAGTAAGCTCAGTACGCGTTCGGGGACGGTAAATGAAGGAATTTCAATTTCATTGGAACAGTTTTTAGTTAAATCTTTATTTTAGAAGGTGTTCAAAATGTGCACCATGAACCTGGATACATTTTTGGAGGCGGTAAATAAATTCTTGCTGTAGGGGGGAGACTACGTGGCCCGTGTGCTGGTGCGTGCGCTCACACAATCAACGGGAACCGTGTATGTATACGCGATACACGAGAGACACATTCGATTTCGTAGAATCCAACTTCTGCCTCGACAATTGCACAAATGCACTTTTCACTGGTATAGAACTCACGGGTAGACTTCCCTACAGGGTGGTCTGGTCCGTATAAACACCAATAAACACATTTTAATTGAAAGAATTAGAATTTTAGAAATTGTGCGATTGTGACAGACGCCGATGAAGCACACAAGATGGCTGCTCAAG